ATTTACTGTAGAGATGAGGTCTCGCCAGGTTGCCGGGCGGGTCTCGAACCCGCGGGCTCAGGCCATCCGCTCACCTCGGCCTCCCAAAGGCGCGGGACCCCCACAAATGCTTGTTGAATGACTTCGCGTTATACACCTCTCTCTGCACTTTTTCTTCAAAGCACTTAGTACGGTTTACAGTGATGCGTGTGTGTGAATATTTTATTCATGCTGTCTTTCTTGATAGACTGTGAGTCCCAGGAGGGAGGGCAGGGATCACGTCAGTTTTGCCCCCAATTAAGACCCAAGTATCTAGCACAGGGTGGGCTTCACGGCATTTGTTGACGAACAGAAAATGAACAGCCAGTGCTCTCGGGAGCTGCCAGTGCATCTCAACAACATGCCTTCCTTGGCAGACACACGGGTGTTTTAGAAACAGAATGAACACGCACAGCAAAAAGCAAGTGAGATGGGGGCTCACTTTAGGGCTTACCTTTCTGCTTGATTAGAAAACGTAGTACTGGATGCCAATCTAGGAAATAAAATGAATACAGTCACACAAAGGCCTTTGGTTTTCATAAAAAAATCCTCAGGACTGCGGTGGAACTTGGGGCAGTCAGGTTTAGATGGGGAGACATCCACAATGTTGACAGTTCCCTCCACCCAGGACAGAGGGCCCACTCTGGTCCATCTCCAGGTCAAATTTCACCCAGTCCCTGAATCCTGCTTTCTGTGTTGTCAGATATTTCCACTGAGAGGCAAGCAGTTAAAGATGAGTTTCTGTCATCTGCCACGCTACAAGATGGCATCTCAGCCAAGTTAGACAGTAATCAGAGCAACATTTGACCCAATCCCTTCCCATACTAATTAAAATTCATTTTCTTTGTATACAACCTCTGAAATCTAGTTACAAACAAACCATGATTCGCAAAAGCCTCTGTAGTAAAAATAGATGGAACAGGAGTATTTGTCAGCTAACTGTTGGCTTGGAACAATCAGGAAGGAAATCTGTTACACTGAGAAGATACATAACATGCAACTTTTGAAAAGTGTATTGATAAGCTTCTGTATGTGTGGAAATATTCTAGATGTTAGCGTGTAGAAAAGAAAACGTACTACATGGGTGGGTTTAGAAGAACATGTCTTGATCAGTAAGACACTGAAGAAGCAAACAAGAAGATGCTGCACGTTAATTCACTCTCTTAAGACAGGCAAGCGTGAATGGAGCCACGAACCCATGTGGGGAGGGACATGGGTCTAGCAAATGCTGACACCAGACACCATTCCCAGCGGGTTTGCTTATGTGCTCCTCAATGCGAAAGCACAACCATGAATGGATAAATGTAGCAAGTGAACTAAACCGTAATCAAGGGTGCAGTGAATGTGATCTTAAAGGCTGGACCTAGAGAAAGGGATAGGGGATATTTATGAGGGAGCCACGCAGAGAAAAGCACGCGATCTCATGGAGCAGCCGGGTGGTCCTGAGGGTTAGGCTGGGCTAGCACACGCACAGAACACCTGATGGTTCCTGCAGTCACAACGGGCACAGATAAGCTCAGTGCCCGCAAATCCACAGGACCCCATCTGTTCTTCGTGGTGCAACTGAGGCAAGCGAGGAAGCCCTGAACTGGGCGACGATGGGATTTGCTTCTTTGGTAGCTTTGGTGACCAGGCTTAGGTGGCTAAGAACTGTGGCAGCTTGCACTGGGCATGCTCCTGCCTCTTGCTAGTCTACCCAAAGGAGGCAGAGATTTAAGTGTGTGTGTATGCTAAGATGTAAAATGTATATGCTACCGGCTGTCCCATGCTTTCATTCAAAGCTCATGTGTTTACATCCTAACCATTGGCAATGCTTGAACATGGATTATTCTCATTTACGTTAAAACAAACAGAAAACTGAAACAAACCCCTCTACATAGCTAGCATAACTTAGATCAGCTGTTTTAAAGAGACAGTGACAGACAAGAACAATAATTCTATCTGTCCTAAAGCTAAGAAATATTGATAGTAGGAAGTGTGATCTTGCATTAATAAAAATCTCAACTCCATAAGTATTGCTGATATCTGATGCACATTTATCTGCAATTATTATGATTAGGGCAAAAATCAGGGGTTTAAGTTAAATAGTTCCTCTTTTCTTATCTCTCTAACCTGAACCCATCACTCACTTTGTATATTTTGAAATCTAGAGATGGAGTGGTTAGACTTACCTTTACGCCATCTCTGACTCTATGACTCCTAAGTATACTACAAAAAAAAAAAAATCCTGGGGCAGGTGGGATAAGAAAGTCATAGACTTTTGGGGTTGAGGCATCTATAATGCTTTCTTACTTATCTTCAACTTGAAATCAGCATTTTTCATTTAAAAAATAGATTAAATCTTAGCTCCATTAAGATTCCTTCTCTTTCGCTCCCGCAAATGCCAAGAATTTGCACAATCCAGGTCTTGTCCATCCCCTCCTTATAGACTTGCCCTAAGAAATTCTTTCCACCCTGAACTGCACAACACTTAGCACTCAGACCACTCTTTCCAGCATGTAATCGTGCCCTGCTGTGTATGACTGATCAGTGATTCCATAGAGCAGCTTCCTTCTTCAGCAACGAAACCACAAACACTTAAGGCAAGAGCTGGGTCTGATGCCTGCAGCCTACCGCACCAGCACTGGGACAGCACAGGTGGGAAACAGCACCTTCCTGTGGTTGATTTCGATCCCCTCCTGCGAGCTGTGCATGCTCAACTACAGTTTGTGACTGAATCCAAACTTGATTCATATGCATGAATCGCCTCATTTGTCTTCTAATGTCCTGTCTACTAAACAGAATTTTCTGCACATAAACACCCTCCAAGCAGCTAAGCTTAGCCTTCTCCCAGTCAGGCTGAGGGCCCTGCTTCCCAGCTGCGTGCATGTTCCCTTTATCTGAGTCACAAACGCGAACCTGCTACACGGCCATGTATCCCCTCGCCTGACAATGTCCCACATTTCATGGTTAAGTGAGGTGCCTTCAGATTACAGATGCCTAGAGAACCCATTTCAAAGGAGTAACTAATACTCACTAATGTTTACAAAGTGCTTACTACGGCCCACTGACAGTTCTGAGCATTGTCATATCAGCACACGTGGTAATAGGGAACAATGCACAGTCAAGTTTTCTCAGTGCAGTTCCCTCTAGCGTCGCTTCCACATTGTGACTCATGACTCTGCACAGCTGGAGAATTCAATCAAAAGACTGGTCCACCAGGTTTTCAAAACTAGTCTGAGTTGATCCCACAGATACATCTCACTTTTGAACCAGTGGTTTTTACTTCAAGAGACAGATTGAATCAGGGCCCTTCCGACAAACCCAAACAGAAGCTGACTCTCACCTTCCCACAGACTGCATGATATCCAGCAAGAGTGGGGCTGCCAAGTCTGGGCTTAAGTGAATGAATGTGGAGAGGACCACAATGGCCAGCCCAAGTGTTTCTTCATCATATTCTTCAAGAATAGCCCCACAGTCATGGCATCTGCAAAGAAAACAGAGGCATGCTTTTCATGAAGGCAACCAGAGTTTTAAGGTAGAACATAGGATACACACAGCCATTTCTGGAAGGGTTTGGAAAGGTCCTCAGAAGGAAATCAGTAGCCCCGTTCTAATAATAAGGAGGAGACTCTAGGGCCACCATTGCCAGAAAGAGCAAACAGGAAGGTTCTTTTGATTACTGAATTCGTTCTTTCAGTTCACAAGCTTCTGACCTACATATGAGTTATTGCTTTCTTGCAGAATGAGTGTGAGTTGGACTGTCTGAAGCTTCTGGTTGAGGGATTTTATGCATATGAAATTATGACTAGGGATAATCAGTAACTAGATTTTTCTTCATTTGTTGAGATTAAAAATGAAAAATGCAGCTGGGCACAGTGGTGCAAGCCTGTAGTCCCAGCTACTTGGGAGGCTGAAGTGGGAGGATCCCTTGAGTCCAGGAGTTCAAGTCCAGCCTGGGAAACACACCGAGACCTCATTTCTTAAAGAAAACAGAAGGGGAAAGAACAGTGCCTAGGCACAGATGGAAACATTAAAAAAAAATGTTCTATTTGTGGATAAATGGCAGGGTAGTCAAGTCAACAGAACAATCCAGGAAGTCTGGGAAGTTTGGATTGAGTCTCTTCTCTACCACTCACTTAGATCAGTCTTATGAGCCGGCCAGGCCCGCCAAGCGTCATATGCAAAAACACTGACAACGGCCAGTGCTCTTTAGTGACCTGCAGCGTGCTGCTCCTTAGTGTCCTAATGTAGGTCCGCATAATCAGCTCGGCCACAGCCAGCTTTACAGAGTGAGCAGCTCAAAACAGGAGCGGGAACGGGAAGCGAGGCAACCAGAGCTACGAGTGCTGTTGTGACTTTTCCATCTGTACCCTTTCTAAATATAAGCAAGAGAATTTTTAAAAGGTACATTTCTTACACATTTGACATACAGAGTCACACTGGTAACTAAAAAAGAGAAGCAGAGTACACAGACGGTCGAGAAGGCAGCCCGGAAAGGTTAGGTCTTGGGGGGTTACCCCAAGGCGGAGCCAGGGAGATCCTGCCACAGGCAACTCAGAACCCGGATGGACATTCTGAGGCAGCTGCACAAAACAGGCACCGTCACTTTCTCAGGCATCACCGACTGCGAAGCTGGTGGCCAGCTACGTGGACTCTCGCACCAGCCTTTCCTCCTCAGGCTCCTTCCCTTTGTGGGAAGCATGCCCAATCTGTCAATTACCAGGAAGCCTTCCTGGTCCAAGGACATCTCTTCAGACGTGAAATTCTACAGGTCTTACTCCTTGTCATCCTCGCCGAACCAGCACGTAGGTGCCAAGCGATATGCTGGAAGTTCAGAGTACAAAATGCAGAAGAAGTGGACCTCTCCCTGGGGAGCTCACCGTCTATTACAGAATGTGTACATATAAGCAGATAATTAAAAATGCAATGTGATAAGTGCTACAATGGGGAGATGTACCCAATGCTACGGAAACTCAGAAAACAGCATGATCAAGTCTGCCCAGTGGAACCAGGAAAACTCTGCCTTACACTGGGTCTTGAAGCATGAATCGGAGTTCACCAGGCAGAGAAAAGTACAGAGAAGGGCACCTGTGAAGTCACAGAGACGAAAATGCATCAGGCAGGCGCTGGAAAAGACAGGGGGCTGGGGAAGAGTTTCTGAAGAGCAGTGGGAGGCCACACCTCCAACAGTCTGAAGGCCCAGGAAGAGTGGGAGGAGACTAAGACCGCCAACGAGAGGCAGCTAGAGTGTGTCCTCCTGTGGAGTAAACCAAGACAGTCTTCTCGGTACTCAGAGGAACAGGATGAGCAGCGTGCCCGGAGACCCCTCAAAAAAGCGGCAATCACCACACACTGCAAGGAATAAAAAAATAAGTGGCCTGGGTTGGAGTCAGTCAGACTCTCATCTGAATCACCACACAGGCCCCCGGAATGCAGTGGGGAAGGTGGGTGAGGACAATTCCAAAGTTCTGTGCTTCTGCCATGAAACCGGAGGGACTCTGCGCCTTGCCGGGCTCCAGTCCCCCATGGGAAACTGCCTCACCCACCGCCGAGCTCCGCCAAGACCCACGTGGGCTGGCGCAAGAAAAAAAAGCCCTGGGCAGCTGCAGCTGTATCCCCGGAACTTGGAGGCTGCTTTCCAGCCAGGCTGGGAGGGGCAGCCCCAAGGGCCAACCCCCAGGTGGCAGACAGCTCCGAGTTTGAGGGGCGTGTGGCTATGAGCCCCCTGAGGCCTTGAGGCTGCCGCACCTTGACACTGGATGGAGGACTGCCGAGGCTAAGGGGGGGAGCAGGCCGATGCATCACCAGAGCAGCCTCTCGTTCCCTGTGTCAATGCTGGGGTGCCCCCTTCCTCCCACAGCAGCACTGTCCAGCGGCTGGAGACTCCCGCCAAAGCCCTCTGGGGCAGCCAAGAGTGTGCATGGGTGGGGGGCTTGGGTTTCTTTCCCCCAACCCCCTCTCCCGCACCCCCAGACAGAGAACTTGGGTAATCCCCAGAGCCCCACTGTCCACCCGTGTGGCTGGGCACCTCCCTGGAGCAACATATGCCTAGGAGAAAGCCACAGCCACCCTCACAGCTGGCTGTCCCCCACAAGAGCCACCTCCTGGCTGGAGGTCAACAGCACAGCCTATCACATCTGATGTGACACCTCAGCTCTGGGGAAGGTCTGATCCCAGACCCCCAGCAACTTCACTCTCCAGGCCACTCTGGCCACTATGATTCTGTGCAGGCACCCAGCACAGGACTACGCCGCGGGCGACTGGAAAACTCATGACACTAAGGCGACACACCACCAAGGGACCCCCACAGTGCCTGTGTCAGCCCCCTGCCAACCTCACGTAAGAGGAAACATTTCCCAAATGAGGAAAAAACAGAAAAATAATTCAGATGATATGAAAAAACAAAGTTCTCCAACACCGCCAAAAGACCACATGAACTCTTCAACAATGGAAGATAAAATGAAATGAAAACTTTGAAATTCAGAGTTAGAATTCAAAAGGTTGATTATAAAATTGATCAATAAACTTCAGGAGGAAATTGAAAACCAACATAAAGAAATTTTAAAAAGAAAGCAATTTGGGACATGAATGAAAAATTATCCCCAAAAATAAACACCTTAAAAAAAAGAGTTGAAATTCTGGAAATTAAGAATTTAAGGAAGTACAAAATGCAGTGGAAAGTAGACTAGAACAAGCAGAAAAAAAGGATCTCAGAACCTGAAGAGAAGGCTTTTGAATTAACCCGATCAGACAACAACAAAGAAGAAAAATTCAAGAGAATAGAACCAAGTCTCCAAGAAATGTGGGATTATGTAAAACATCCAAACCCAAGAATCATACCTGTTCCTGAGGAAGAAGTGGAAGCAACAGGTTTGGAATATCTATTTGAGGAAATAAAGGAGGAAAACTTCCTTGGCTTTACCGGAGATGTAAAAACATCCAATACAAGAAGCTCAAGGAGCCCCCAGAAGATTCATTGCAAAAAGGTCATAACAAGGCATAGAATCATCAGGTTATGCAAAGTTAATGGGAAGGGAATAATTTTAGGAGCAGAGACACAAAAGCATCACATAACGTACAAAGGTAAACTTAGCAGAGTAACAGCAGAACTCTCAGAAGAAATCTTACAAGTCAGAAGGGATTAGGGCTCCACCTTCAATCTCCTCAAACAGAATAGCTGGCAGCCAAGAATTCTGCATACCACAAAACTAATTTTCAGAAATGAAGGAGAAATGAAGTCTTTCTCAGATAGGCAAATGCTGAGGGAATTTGTCACCACTAGACCAGCTCTACAAGAAATGCCCAAAGTAGTTCTAAATACTGAAGCAAAAGGTCAAAAACACTAGTAGGAAGCTGCTGGAAATCAGAAAGCTCACAGGCTTTATGGAACATCAACACAATCAAGGAAAAACAAATAAATAAGTGAAACAACCAGATAACAACCAGTATGATGAATGGCATAGTACCTTACATATCATTATTAACTCTGAATGGTCTCCGTGATCCACTAAAAATATATACTGGCAGAATGGATTAAAAAACACGACCTAGGTCATTGCCTTACCAGAGTTGGTGTGGTCCATGTGCTCTTTGCTCTATGGCCATTGCCATGTTTCCTGGCTGTGGCCCCTTTCCCTACCTTGGGGAGGAAAATCCCTCTTTCTCTCTCTCTAGTTTACTTTCTAAATGAACTATATTTTCCAGTCTGAAAAAAAAACACACAACCTAAATATCTGATCTGCTGCCTTCCAGAGACCCATTTAACACACAGACTCCTATAGACTCAAGGTAAAGGAGTGAGAGAAAATATTCCATGCACCTGGAGAACAAAAATGAGCAAGAGTAGCTATTTTTATATTAAAAAAAGACTTTAAATTAACAACAGTAAAATAAGGCAGAGATGGTTATTATATAAAGAGATCAATCTGACAAGATTTGACAATTTTAAATATATATGCACCTCACACCACAGCCCCCAGTTTTATCAAACAAATTCTACTAGACCTAAAAAAAGAGACAGCAATACAATAATAGTGGTAGATTTCAACACTCCACTGACAGCAATAGACTGATTATCAAGGAAGGTCAACAAAGAAGCACTGGAGTTAAACTGGACCCTAGAACAAATAGAACTAATAGACGTCTACAGCACCTTCCACCCCAAACCTACAGAATATACAGTTTTCTCATTAGTACATGGAATATTCTCTAAGATAGACCACATGATAGGCCACAAATCAAGCCTCACTAAATTCCAAAAACTGAAATCATATCAAACAATTTCTCAGACCACAGTGGAATAAAACTAGAAATTAACCCCAAGAAGAACTCATGAAACCAAACAAAAGCATGGAAGTTAAACAATCTGCTCCTGAATAATCCTTTAGTCAACAATTAAACCAAAACAGAAATTAAAAAATTCCTCAAAATGAATTTCAACAATGAAACAAATTATCCTAACCTCCAGGAAACAACCAAAACTGTGCTCAGAGGAAAATTTATAGCACTTAAGACCAGTATTAATAAGACTAAAAGATTGCATATTAACAACCTAACGTCACACCTCAAAGAACTACAAAAACATGAATAAACTAAACCCAAACTAGCAGAAGAAAATAAATAACAAAGCTCAAAGCAGACTAAATGAAGTTAAAATTAAAAAACATACAAAGACTCAATGAAATAAAAAGTTGGTTATTTGAAAAGATAATCAAAATTGATAGACCACTAGCTAGATTAAGAAATGAAGGGAGAAGATCCAAATTAGTTCAATCAGAAATGAAAATAGTGACATCGCAACTGATATAATGGAAATTCAAAAGATCACCTGAGATTATTTATGAACATCTTTATGCAAACAAACTGGATAGTCTAGAGGAAATGGATAGATTCTTGAAAACATACAACCCCCTGATCTTGAATTAGGAAGAAATAGAAACTCTGAAAAGACCAGTAACAAACACCAAGGTTGAAATAGGAATTAAAAGTCTCCCAGCAAAAAAAAAAAAAAAAAAAAAAGCACAGAACCTAGTGGGCTCAAGATCAAATTCTATCAGACTTTCAAAGAACTGGTACCAAAGTTACTGAAGCTAGTCCATAAGATGGAACAGGAGGGAATTCTCCCTAACTCATACTACAAAGTCAATATCAGCCTGATACCAATGCCAAAAAAAGACACAACAAAAAAAGAAAACCTCAGATCAATAGCCCTTATGAACATGGACACAAAAATCCTCAACAAAATATTAGCAAAGTGAATTCAACATTAGAAAAATCCACCACGATGAAGTTTATTTTATCCCAGAGTTGCAAGGGTGGTTCAACATATGTGAGTCAGTAAATGTGATCTGCTACAGAAACAGAATTAAAAACAAAAATCACAATACTTTCAATGGATGCCGAAAGAACATTTGATAAAATCCAGCATCCCTTCATGATAAAAACCCTCAGAAAAACAGACATACAGGAAACATTTCTCAAAATAATAAAAGTCATATACCCCAAACCCACAGTCACGAGACAAGTTGAATGCACTCCCTCTCAGAACTGGAACAAGACAAAGATGCCCACTTTCACCACTCCTATTCAACATAGTACTGCAAGTCTTAGCCAGAGTAATCAGGCAAGAGAAAGAAATAAAGAGTATTCAAATTGGAAAAGAAAAAGTCAAACTATCTCTGTATGCCAATGATATGATCTTATATCTAGAGAATCCTAAATGAAATTGGTAAAGTTTCAGGATGCAAAATCAACACACACAAATCAGTAGCACTGCTATGCACCAATAGAGATCAAACAGAGAATCAAATCAAGAACTCAATTCCATTTACAAAAGGAGCCATAAAGCTAAGATACCTGGAATATGTTTAACCAAGGAGGTGAAAGATCTATAAGGAGAGCTACAAAACTCTGAAGAAAGAAATTGGAGAGGACACAAACAAATGAAGAAACATCCCATGCTCATGGATTGGAAGAATCAACATTGTTACAATGATCATATTACCTAAAATAATCTACAGATTCAATGTAATCGCTATCAAACTACCCATGTTGTTTTTCATAGAATTAGAAAAACAAGTCCTAAAATTCGTATGGAACCAAAAAAGAATCAGAATAGCCAAAGCAATCCTAAGCAAAAAGAGCAAAGCTGGAGGCATCGCATTTCCTGACTCCAAATTATGCTACAAGGCTATAGTAACCAAAACAGCATGGTGCTGGTACAAGAGCAACCACATGGACAAATGGAACAAAACAGAGACTCCGAAAATAAACCCAAATGCCTGCCACCAACTAATCTTTGACAAAGTATCCAAAAACATATACCGGGGAAGGGACATCCTAGTCCACAAACGGTGCTGGGAAAATTGGATAGCTACATGCAGAAAAATGAAACTTGATCCCTATCTCGCACCATATGCAAAAATGAACTCAAGATAGATTAAAGATTTAAATGTCAGATTTGAAACCATAAATATCCTAGAAGAAAACCCAGGAGAAACTCTTCTGGACATAGGTCTATGCAAAGAATTTATGGCTAAAGCCCCAAAAGCAAATATAACAACAAAAATTAGTAAGCAGAACTTGGTTAAACAAAAACATTTCTGCACAGCAAAAGAAATAAGAAATCTACAGAATGGGAGAAGATATTCACAAACTGCACATCTGACAAAGGACTAATATCCAGAATCTACAAAGAACTCACACAAATCAGCAAGAAAAAAGCAAATAACCCCATTATAAAGTGGGCAAACGACCTGAACAGATAGCTATCTCTCAAAAGAAGACATGCAAATGGCCAACAAACATATGAAAAAATGCTCAACATCACACATCACCAGGGAATGCAAATTAAAACCACAGTGAGATACCATCTTACACCAGTCAGAAAGGCCCTTTACTAAAAAATTAAAGAACAACAGACGCTGGTACGGATGTGGTAAAAGGGAATTCTCATACATTGCTTGTGGTAGTGTGACTTAGTATCCCCTCCATGGAAACTGGGATGGAGATTCCCCAAAGAATGGAAAGCAGACCTACCATTTGATGCAGCAACCCCACTACTAGGCCCAAAGGAACAGAGGTCGTTATATAGAAAGACACCTGCACTCACAAGTTCCTCGCAGCATAATTCACAGTTGCAAAGATGTGCATTCAACCTAACTGTCCATCAACTGACCAGTGGATAAAGAAAACGTAGTGTGCGTATATGGAATATTATATGAATAGTGTGTTATGGAATATTATTCAGCAGTCAAAAAGAATGAAATAATGTTATTCTGCAGCACCTTGAGGGAACAGGAGAAGATCATCCTATGTGAACTGACGCCGGAGCAGAAAACCTGACGCCGCACGTTCTCACTTACAAGTGGAGCTAAACTAGGATCTGCAAAGACGTGGAGATGGTGTCATGGACACTGGAGACTCGGATGCGGGAGGGGAAAAGGGGCAGAGGTGCAAAAAACTGCCTGTGGGGTCCAATTTGCACAGGTGGGAGTGGTGGGCGCGCTTGAGGCCCAGCCTTCCTCACCACTCTGTGATGCAGCTGTGTAACTGAAAGCCATTCATACCCCGAAGCCACTGGACAAGAAAAATGAAATAAGAGGCCTGATCTAAGAAGCTAAGGCGTTCGGACTGTCTCCTAGAAGGAATCCAGGGTCTTGAAGGCTGACGAGCTGAGAGGGTACGTGACCAGTATGCGATTCAGAGAAGAGATTCTGCTGGCTGGATGGAATAAGAATTGGGAATCATCCTGACTCTCCCTCAAACAGCTTGAAGCTTCTAGTTGAGGGTGAAGCTTCCAGTTTACTGGTGTGAAATTGTTGCTGGGGGTAGTCAGTGGTGTTATTTGCATTTATCCAAATTTTTAAAAAATCTATATATAAATGGAAGCTGCCCATATAATACAGCATTTCTAAAATTACAAATGATACCAACATGTTGGGCTGCGGCCATCTGAAGAACAAATTATGACTTAGAAGCAAAGCATGCTTCCTCTGAGACATTCTCACAACTGTGGAGACCAAACTTCAACTCTGCAAACACGGCGAGGAAGACAGCTGGTGAGCTTACGTGTCCGTCATCACGGTCGGCTGCTCGTCAGTGAATTCTTCGGGTGCAGGCACAAACATGCTGACTATGCTGGGTGCTGACAGCAGGCTGGATTTGGTGGCACCTGGGTAAGCAGCAAAGGGACAACGCATGAATGACGGGCGGCTTCTGGAGGCCGGGAAAGGCCCCATTATCCTATAAACCCTCCCAAGATCACATTCCCAGGAATGCGGCTGGGAGATTCCCGCTGCACTGTGGGGAGCCCTCAGTAGTGACATGAAGTCCAGAAAGCTTGTGATTTGTTCTGCTGGTGCGAAGTTAAGAGCTAGCCGTCTATGTCTCCCTCTGCTTCTTGACTTTGCACACGTCAGTACGAGTTCAGGGGTGTCAACGGGGCCGAGGGCAAAGATGAAAAGAAAAAGAGGGAAATCGACTCAAGGGCATCCCTGATGAGCTACAACCCTTATTTGTTGGCGTACATGGAAGCTGCCCACATGATGCTGTGGGTTTTTGTTGTTGTTGTCTGTTTTTGAAAGCAGGATTTATTGAGGACAGAAAAGCTCCCACAGTGGGAGGGGACCCAAAGGGGTTGCCTGATGCTGCATTTCTAAAATGACATACAGATCAACATCAAGGTGTGGTGAATGCAGGAAGGGAATGTGGTCCCAGAACTCCATACACTCAAGCAAGAGGGGATAATTTGAGCTAAGAAATACCGGTGTAGTTTTTTACTTTGGAAATAACTATCATTAGTTCCAAAGCCAAAAAGACTTCATTTTTTAAATCCAAGTATTTATGAACAGAATATCAAGTGTTTTGAAGGAACCATCTGGTGACTTACTCCCTGTCAGCCAGTCGGTACCACAGAGTTTAACACTTGGGGTTTTGATGCCTTCAAAGAACTCTGAGGCAGGAACCTTAGCAACACTCTCCAAGGATGAGTAAATCTGTCTGGAGAGCAAGGAAGTCATCTTCCACTAAGACAGCCCCTAGTGCCAGACAGAGTCTGTGGAACTATGGAACGGAGGCACTCCCAAGAAGAATCCCACAGTGACAAGCTAGAATAATGCCATATTCTAAAAAGTAGTAACTGAAACTCGGAGTTTTTCAAATGAAAAAGAAGGCAGAAAAATCCAACAGCCATTAGATAATCTATTCCTCATCGAGGGACTAGTAATGTGGTGCTGTAAAAACAAAGCCTGTGTGATCTTTCCTTAAGTAGGAAAAATTGGGTTCTAAAAGAAACACACACACACGCACGCACACACACGCACACACACACTTAGAAACCTAGCCAAGTGGGCAATGCTTTTCACAATGGGGGGAAATGGTGCCAAGCCTTTGAAAAGTCAAGACGTGTCCATACTACAGTCCCCTGCCAGATGGAGGGTTACAAAGCATATTCATAAGATGAAGACCCGCAAATGCACATGGCGAAGAATATGGAAACATCTTTATGTCACTTCCGAAGCTCCCAAATGAGAATCCACATTTTACCACCATATTTACAAGCTATATCTGAGATCACACTCTTGCTGAAGTACATCAAGTATATCACTGGCAAAGATCTCAAATTGTTTCATAAAGATGTTGTTTTGAGTAGAAGCAACAGTGTTGCAAGCATATGTGTAAACTGATTAACAAAGAAGGCCAGAACCAGGCCAAGATAAATGAAGTTACAATTGATGATTACATCATATGGTAAACAGCATGGAGTTGCTTCAAGAAGCCAAAATACAAGAGGCTTGAATCCAATACTATACGTTTCTTGAACATTGACAGTCGATGTCAACCAGACACCGAAATGCTTATGCTAAAAATGGAAAGTCCAACCCATCAGATAATATGGTGAAAAAAGCACAGGCTTACTAGAAACACAAGAAACTGATTTTTAAAAAATACCTCTGAGTCAAGGCTTTCAGAGGATCATTGCCATTATATAGTAATCACAATTAAATTTATGAAAAGGGAGTTTAATAATAATAACTGGTGGTTTCAAACCCATTATTACCTAAATCAATGCCAAGGAAGAGGTATTTTTGATCGCGGCATCGCGAAGCTGTCTATCCGTATGACAACATGGAATAAACAACACAATATTTATGGCAGTCATCTACAAAAGCAGATAGATTAAGTGATCGGTCACTAACCCCTAGGAAAACATTAGCTGAATCAGTGAATTCCTGAACATTGCTACTAAAGTGGGAACAAAGAGTCAAGTGCAAGAAGGTGGGAAACGCAAAAAGGAAGCTGTGGACCTCCGCCGCCTTTTGCTATGGCCGAGTCACGATAAACCCACAGTGGCAAAGGCAGTCCCCATTACCCTCATGTTGCTGCCAACACTTCTGATGCCACCACTGCTGGTTCTACTCCTGAATACCCAGAGTGCGCTCTACACGGAGCCAGAAGCAGAAACAGGACTCTCAGAAACGTGAATGAGCACAGGCCCAGCCCCAAAGCTCAGCTTCACAGCAGTGATTTGGACAAAAGCCCCTTGGGAGTCTTGGAGATCGGTGAAACTACAAAGGGGTGTGTGTGTCTCAAAGCACGCATGTACGTTTCAGTCCCCCAGCTGCACCAAGAACTGACCCGTCAGTTGACAGGGAAAGAGACTGGCTTTCCATCTTTGCTCTCATCACTTCATTCCATTTTTGTCACTGCAGTCACTAGATCATAAACAAGCACCCAAGACTTGTTCAATCACCCTGACTTCTCATCGAGGTTTTTTCCTAGCCCCATAGATGAGAAGAGTCTCGCCTTATCTGATACAGGGGCTGAAACTGTTACTTGCTGCTAGAGAAATGTTATCAAAAGCTGGAGAAAAACATCTCCTCATTCTGCAGGAAAATTAGAAAACTGATATGGTCTAGAAAAAAATAGGTCTGGGCTGGATGGAGTGGCTCAACCCTGTAATCCCAGCACTTTGGGAGGCCGAGGTGAGAGGATTGCCTAAGCCCACGGATTCGAGAACAGCCTGGGCAACTCTACAATAAATCCAAAAATTAGCCAGGCGTGGTAGTGCGTGCCTATAGTACCAGCTACTTGGAAGACTGAGGCGTAAGGATCGCCTGAACCTAGCAGGTCAACGCTGGGGTGGCCCTGAGCATGCCACTGCACTCCAGCCTGGGCAACGGAGTGAAACTCCAATTCAAAAAAGAAAAGAAAAATAGGTCTGCTTGATTTAAGGGACAGTTATGAGATGTAGCTGTAATTCTTTTTTGGTTTTTGTCTTTCTGCCATGAAAAGTTAACCTGTCTCTGAATTTAAAAAAGGAACAAAAGTAACAATTAACCACTCTGGTAGCTAAAATTCATGGGATACATTTTTAAAGTAAATCTGATCTTAGAGCAGATTTATGCTAAGCTTATTCCCACAAGCAGAGTCAAGTAGACATTTTCGACATGTATTTAAGATATGTGGAGATAAGCTGTTCACCTATGACCTCAACATTCTAGAATGAATACAGGTCAGCTGACCATGCTCAGAAAAGCAGACACAGGATGACATAAAAAACTGATATGCATGAGGAACGCTGAAGGGCCCACGAGTATCCGGTCTAGAAAACGCAGGGGAGGAAGCCAAAACATCATGTGAGAGGGACTAGATTTGTCCTGTGTGGCCCCAAGGTCACTATAAGGAAGAACGGTCAGCCACAAAGATGAGATGTCATGCATCCTCAGTCCCTGAAGGTGTTTGAGTAAAGGCTGGCCCCGTTCTGTCGAACTGCTGGGACTGTGGCACCTGCTGGGTGAGCAGAAGCTGGACAGACCCATGCTCTTTCAGCTTTTATGGCCCGAGACTCTGTGACTCAACTGACCTCTCGTCCTCAATGGCTGTCCCTCCAGGTCAGGGTTTAGGCACGTTGGCACATTACACTGGCGCTTCCCGGGCTGTATCTGTTCTGTTGATAAACAGAGCATTTCAGTCTTCAACGCAGTCCACTTGCCACACAATTCAGAATACAAATATTTGAGCAGTCATCTCTGGGGGCCATTTTTGGGTTATTGATTATTATTAACACTTACAAGCACATCCTAGATTTTAAGGTAGGGGTTTTGAGGCTTCACTGCAAATCTGCCATTCCGTTCAGTTCTATTAAATGCAACTAAAGGCAGGAGAGTATCTAAAACCACCCCCAAAAAGCCCAGACCACCCTGATCCCCACAACACCCCAAAAGGCTCAAGTCTTATACCTCCTGATAGAAAACGAAAGGCATGGTCACAGTTATGAGCAAAATGTTTTATGCAAATCAGGGAATACGTAACTGATTATTTGGGACAATAGCCCGAAAACGTGGAACTGGCAGAAGGAGATGGCAGGTGTTGACTGAGGGATGGGGAACAGGACTAAGGGGAGGCAGGGCAGAAACGGGAGAGTGGTGCTTCCAAAACGCATGTGCCCGTGAAAGACGAGGCAAAGAAGCAAGCCATCACCATGTGCGTGGATGGAGAGGAGGCAGGTGCTCGGAGCGAGTTGGTCCATGCTGGGTGGAGCAATCCTGAACCCTGTCTTAGGCTGCCTTTCTCAGTGTGTCCACATGGTCAGATTTGTTCTTGTGAAGACTAGTGAGTCACTGAATCAACATGTGTGGCTTAAAGCTGACATAGCACTCAACACTACACTACAGAGTCACAGATGCTCCGCTGGGCTCAGATTCGGGGTGTATTTTTTGCGGCAGTAATGAAAAGGAGAATGTTGAGATGAAATTCTAGTAGGATTTGGTGACTAGAACAGCAACTTGGAGGACGAAAAATAAACCCAGGAAAACCCAGGTGAAAGAAATTCAGCCCGCACATAAACAAAAATATTAAATGAGAAGCCAGAGAGACACGAACAAGGTTGAAGTGAAAGGTGAAAAATCCAGTTAAAAGAGCTCTTTGGCATCATGTAGTTTTTTTAGATAAAAATTTCGAATAGAAATTGAAATCAATTTGCCTTTTAATCACTACTGAGTCAATCAAGCCAGGTTGTATCTCTGACTAGGTAGTCAGAATCTAAAATGATTAGCTTAGGATGAACTATTTCCTGCAGAAAACAGTAGCATGATAAAATAAGCTTCAGAGCCCCGAGATCAGCCTAGCATGTGCCGGGCATTTCATGCTCAGAGACCTGACCAAACAGACACTGTGGTTATCAGTTCCTTAGACAGCTTCATCTCAGGAGAGAGAGAAGCACAGTCCTCTTTGGTGTGAACAAAAAGACTTCACTCACACCCAGTGACCCCGGAGGTCAGTGCCCAGGGTCCCTTCTCCTCTCCCTTGTCTGCTGGTTTGTGGCTATTCACTGCTTACTAGCACATATCACTGAACGTTTAAAATGTTAAGCACTCTTACAAAATCCAAGAGAGCTGAAATGGTCTGTTAAAAGTGAGACTGAACATGGTGTGTGGGTTTTAGTCATCTAGACCAGTTCTCTCTTTTTTTCCCTAAAGAATAATGAGGGCAAATAAGATGACGTGTACAAATACTATGGCTTTGAGAAAAGATAACAATATCTCAAGATTTGGGTTTTGTGGACACTGTCATTCGTAGTTGTCAGGAAGAAAATGAAGATAATCTCAAATAACTGGAGCCTGAAAGAATTAACCAAGATACTGAGAGCCTGACCGGAGGGGTGGGGCACCCAGCATATCACAGTAATAAACCCTTACATATTCCCAGTGTGTGCGCGTTTCAAGGTGCTTTCACAATACAATCTTGTAGCTCAAATGACACTTTAAGTAAAGGAGAAATTCAAAGGAGGCAGGCACTGAAGAGAGGACTGTGGCTGTGCTACTCGCTCCAGAAGGTAGTACACGTGCCAGACATGGTCTCAAAGTTGAGGAAATGGAGGGTGGCCGTGTAGAAGGCAGATGTGCCATGCAGCCGACCCTTACTTTAAAAGTGAAGTCGGATGAATTCTATCTTATGAGCATGGGTGTGTGCTGCTGCGGCTGGGGGGCTCTGCCAAAACACAGGACTCACATTCCCAAACCTAGTGGACAACCATGACGTCACTAAGCTGACATTTGTTAATATTATTACTCGTAGGAGTCACATTCCCTTATTTGGGGGTTACTTTACAGTTTATTCAACAGAGAATGCTGAAAATCTAGTGTGGTTGATTTTACAAATTTGCATTAGGAATTTCTCTCCCTCCTCCCCAAATTGATAACCCGAGATCTGGAATCTAGGTCTTACAGAGAGAAAGAGCTGGGCCAGCCCTGAAGGAAGAATGTGCCACTCTAGAACATTTGGAAAGTTTAAACAGATTTAGTAATTACCTTAGCTGTTTTTCTTGTTTTGCTTTAATTACTTGAACCAAAGAATGCCTTAACAAGGGAGCAGAGTGGACACAGAGAACATGGCATCAGTTAGTCTGAGAGGTAAAATGAGAAGACAGAGCTCGACCCACCAGTGTCCCAGTCGCTGATGTCGTGGGGGGCGCTAGACTGATGCTCCAGCTGCCGCTTCGTTAGCTGGCTCATTGTCAGAACACCCAGGGAGCCCCTTTTCATCTGCCTGTGCTGAGCTGGATGGGGGAAATTAGGACATGATTACCAGGGGGAACACATTTCTCAGCACACAAAGGCTTCACCATCCATGCAGAATGAACCTTCCTCAACTGTTTCCAATGTCTGGTAAATTGTACGCTCCTGTCCACATCAAAAACGAAGGCACTCTTGTTCCAGGTACCCTTCTTCATGCATGAAGACAGCACGGTGCCGCTTAGCACTGACCTGTAGCCTGTAAATATTTATCCCAGTTACAATGGAATGAAATATGAAACTTTCATTTACTTTTTAGCTTATACACTCTGCCGTGTTCCAAAAAGGACTAAAGACAGATAACATTACCTTGAAAGTGTAGCTTAACTTCCTTTCATAGAGCTTATGCGTACAGAGTTTCAGTCGTTGCCACATCCCCATGAGGTCTCCATGTATGTGTGCACATGTGTGTACTGGAATGTTTCAGAGTAGAAGGACACAAATCAACCCCAATTTTTAGAGAAAGAAACTGAAGCAAGTGAAATTATGTTACTGGGAGCCAACCAGATCTGAGGTGGTCCCTAATCTTAACATACCAGTCCCAAAGTCAGTGCCGTATTCAGTCTCTGTATGAGCCTGTGTCTACTGTTTGAAAAATGTGAATCAAATAACACTACACAGTAGATTATGGTATGTGCCTTTACTTTAGAAAACAGTGGTAACATTTTTATCCTGCAATTAGGTATGGAAAAATATCCCACCAGTGAAAAGTCATTTATTAGCACTTTCAGACCAGAAAAAGGCCAAAAACACTACCAAGTAGACAACTGAGTTAGAAACAGCCTCCCCCACTCCCACTCCACGGTGAGCAACCCAGCAATTCCCACCCACCAGTCCAGTGTAAGCGGTGGGGCAGCACTGATGAAGTTTTTCTACATGACCCCGAACACCTGGGCATCTGACAATCTGTGGTTATTCCCTATCTTCCACGACAATCTCAGAGACTGAGGCTAGGAATGACATGCCCCGGAGGGAGGTGGCAGACACGAGGAGGGACGGAGGGCCTGGCAGGAGGTGGTGGGACGAGGATGGCTGGATGCCCTCGACGAGGCGGAAGACACGAGGATGGCTGGAGGCCTAGAAACGAGGAGGGCGGGCCCCCCTGGAAGGAGACGGCAGACACGAGCGGGGATGGACGCCCAACAGGAGGTGCAGAACTGAGGATGGCTCAGGGTTATGCACAGGCTCCGCAATCATGAAACCAAGGTGGCAACTTGGTGTGATGTGAAATCAGTTATACCACTATCCTTATTATAATTATTTTTTATGTGACTAACATGCTGCTTGGTTCATGGTGGTCGTGGTAGGTTTAGCTACAAAATAGCGAATAAACTGATCAAAAGGGAAGAATGCGATGGGACTTCTTGAGTCTTGGAGTTCATATTAAGTGAATTTATGAAAATGACTAGCCATCCTAATATTAAACATCTTCGATCTTTGTTGATTGGCAAAATTTACTTGAGAAGCGCAGCTTTAAGTAAAATTCAAAACCAAATATTTTTAAAGATTTAACAGATTTTAAAATAGCAGCATCTAGCAGACTCAAAAAAGGATTTTAAACCTCTAGCGATTAAATAATTCGATTCTCAGTTGTTTCTACAGACAGTAGAATTCCTTGAGTAGCACCCTTAATGCTCACTGTGTGTGTAAGGCCCCTGACGTCATGCCTCCAAGCACACCACCCAGAGCTGCGGAATGCATGCTTTGGGTGATGAGAAGCAGAAGTGTGGCGATCTAATGGTGTGCTAAGCGAAACCCAAAAAGGCTGGATTCAGTCATGACTTTGGGATCATAAAACGCTTGATAAATTTATTTGTTTGCCTATTTATTTATTTGTTTGTTTAGAAACAGGGTCCTGCTCTATTGCTTAGGTTGGAGTGCAGTGGCACAATCATGGCTTACTGCAGCCGCAAACTCCTGGGCTCCAGCAATCCTCCAGCTTCAGCCTCCCGAATAGCTGAGACTACAGGCATGCGCCATGCCCGGCGATAAAGTTATTTTATGGTACATTTAACTAGTACTACAGCCCACTGATGTAATCATCCTGGTTAGCTCAATTTATCTCTAATTCACTGTCTTTTTTTGGGTGACCCATGCAAATTAGGAGGAGAAGACGTACTTTCATGATCTTAGCAGGTGGGCTTAAAAATGGGCATTTTTGTCCTGTTATCCAACAGCTGTTTTGTGATAAAAGAAGAAACATTCGATTTAGAACTAGTCACTCCTGTATGCTACCAAAAGGGTAAATAACTGCCACTTGGAAATGGTTTCTTAGAATTTCCGTAATCTTTATTACAACTGAATTTGAATTACTCTAAGGCAGAATGTTACAGAAAAAGGAACGTGGACTCTGAAGTCTAACAGGCCTGGTATCAATTCCTGTCTCAATCACTTAGAAGCTGCATGACTTTAGACAAGTCACTTCGCTTCTCTGAACCTGTTTCCTGGTCTATAAAATGAGCTCAGTGGCATCCGCCATATAGTGCTGATGCAAGGACTGGATCAGATAACAATGTGTGCGGAGCACACAGCACAGTGCCTGGCACATGACAGGCGTCACATCAGTGGTGGCTCCAATTACTATTAAGACTGTAAAGTCTTGGAGAACATGGGTGTCTTATTTATTCACCTTTGACCTTCAGCGCCAAGCACAGTGCCTGGCATCCAGCAGACAATAAACAGTTGCTGACTGAGTGAATGCATGAATGAATGAATGACGAAGATGGTGATATTCCATCTACCCGTCCAGCATTTAAGTTCTTCCTCCGGTCTTTCGGGATCATCTTCATTTCGAAAGACGGTCAAAGGAAATTAAACAGTTTTCAGACAATGTCCACATGGAGCATAAACCCTATTAGCACACATGATGAAGGTTTACGGAAGTTGCCCCTGTTTGTAGCTCTGATTCTCGTTATGGATGTCCCATGTGAAGTCTCTTAACTGGCTCCACAGGGCCAGGTGGACGCCCATGTAGAATCCAAATGGAACTCAGCTCCTCATACGAAAAATCTAGGATCCAGCCACAGAAGACAATTTCAAAATACTTGCTTCCTACAGAGCCTGTAAAATGCCATGCCTTTCTCTCCCCTAGCCCAAAGGAGCGAGATTCAGTCCTGACTTCGGGATCATTACACATGGCGCATTTATGTCACGATAACCTACATCAGATGTTGCCAATGAGGAAGGTGATTCAAATCAAACGAAGGCGTTCCGTGTAAAATTCTGCCACAGTTGATGCTTGTCACAGGTCCCAAAGCCAGCTCTTGCTATGTTTTATGTTTAGACTAGTGAAATATGATTTTATTTTACTGAATTGCAAAAGTCAGTGATCATTTCTTAACAAATTAGGTTTCTTGGCCAATCAGCAACTATAGTGATTTATCAGAACTTGAGATGTGGACAAAAGGGGCCATACAATGCCTCACGGTCTCTGAGAGCATGCCACACAGTGTCACCAAAGACGCAAACGCAACATTAAAAAATTAAAAACAAAACAAAACAAAAAACAAGATTGCTAAAACTGAAAACCAGGCAGCAGATCATGTTCCAAAATCTGCATACAGGCAAAATGACCACCAGAGGAAACCTTACTTGAGATAGAGGAGTGGCCGCTTGTCTCCGGCATGCCTGCTTCCAACGTGGGGGCGGACGAGGACTCTCGCGGCATGTCCAAAGTCGAAAGGCCTTTTGCGGAGGAATCTGCAAGGGGAAGTATTCAAAGCTCAGGCACAGCTTAGAAACGAGCTCAAGAACCTTTTCCGTGTCTTCTTCCCACTTGCCTACTACATCCATTCCAATCTTTATGCACCTTCTGGCCCCGGTAATTACGTTCATAGAATGACACACACTGGTCTCAAAGCTCCATGGAGAACTGACTCTCTGGGACTTCCTACCTCTATGGCCAGGCCTCAGGGACTAGTGACGGCACAAAGATGGAGCCAGAGCTCAGCTGCTCAAGGTACACACTCCTGGACAAGCCACTTGAGCTTTCAACAGAGTGTGTTTTCGTCTCATACCTAAAGATGCTTCATAGTTCATTCCACCTATCTCCACCTTCACCTGGCAGTTTCCTACTCCTCATTTTGTATCTCAACTTGCATAGAAAATTCCCCCTCCAGGGAGGCTTGTAGAACCTGTCCCCCAAAATATATAGACAAAAACACTGGGACAGGTGCCCCTTTTATGTAATTACAGAGAACCTTGTCTTCAACCTTTTCCAAACTTGCCACATTATAATGTAGTTGTCTTTTTACTTGTCTATAGCCTTCGCTAAACTAATTTAAGAGCAGGAACTGTGCTTAACTTGGAATACATATGCACGATTTACTCAGATTTTGTGCTTTGTTAGTTGGACAGGAGACAGACTGCTATCATTTGTTCTCCTATTTAAGGAATGTTGAATCTAAGGTGAAATATTTTCTGCAGATAATATTGACTTATTAATCTATCAATAACGAGAAACAAGCTGCATTATTCTAGGTAACTACAAACTATTTTTTTAAACTTTCTGAAACGTGTAATGACTTTTCATAGCAAACTCCCTACAACTCTCTCCAGACCAGCTTGCACCTTCAGCAGCACCACGCAGCAGGCATCGCGAACACCCTGGGGGCTTGGAGTCACCACTGCGGGCTTCCCTGACCACACTGTGCTGGAACTCCAGGACGCCCACCCCGAACGACTATGAGAGCTCAAGCCTGGATGTTCCTGCTTCACACTTTTCGAAGCATCAACTCTTGTTTCTTACCACAACGCAATCTACCACACACTCATACCAACATATGATTACATATACAGATGCAATTCTACTATGGGTGACCATTAAACTTGCTAAACTGTCATGAATAAACAGTACAGTAGATCCTAGGTGAGGGACCAGGAAAGAAGTTTTTCAGTGCCGATTCTGTAGCACCCATTTGTAATTCTCAGAGGCCTTTCTGAGTAGATGTGGTTTGCTAGATTAATAACTTCTTGATAACAAAAAAGTATAACTGCTGTAAAGTTCCCAAACGCTCTAAATGAACCACAAAGTCACTGCTGCTTTTGGATTACTTTGGCCATTAAGATAGTAAAGACCAGGTATCGTTTTCCATTATGTATCCTCCCCAATCCACTCGTCAAAAACATGTGTCATGATCTCTCTTACTCTCGTCCTCCATTCCATGTGTGCTGCAGCTAAGGCATAATCATCTCACCAACGTGAACGAGAAAGCTTAAAGCTAATTTCCAAAAATTATCTGAAAAATTATTAAGACTTTTAGAGTTTTGGTATACTTATTAACATCCTTGGTGTATTTTTAGTTCTGAAGAAACATCATTACTATAAGATAGTAAGCAATAATTAGTGTAGCAAGATTCTGTTATCCAGGTAATTTTTCTAAATCCTCCATCATTTTATGAAGGCTTTTATTTGCATACAGTGTAGGACAAACATCTGAATAGGGCTATCCCCTTGGTTTAAAGCAGCTGTAATTTGATTTTTATAGTGATGTGCAGAGAATGTTATACTATGTTTTCATTCACTCAACAAGCCTTTACCAGCTGCCTACTAGTCACTTGGATACAACCAGGAACAAACCAGAAACATCTGCCTTCAGGAGCATTCATGTTTTGGAGAAGAGACAGACAGTGATTACAATGCACAAAGTAACTAAGCTATTTTATGTTTGATCAATTCTTTGTAGAAGAGAAATAGAGCCGAGAAAGAGATGTCAGGTAGGGGTTGCAGGGCGGGGAGGGTGGGGCACAGTCCAGGGCAGGCCTCAGTGGAAACAGATTTGATCATAATTAAAACAAGTGAGACCTCATCTCTACAATCAATCAAAAAATCACCCAGGTGTGGTAGCGCACGTCTGTAATTCCAGCTACTGGGAAGGCTGAGGCGGAAGGATTGCTGGAGCCCGGCAGGTCGAGGCTGCGGTGGCCGGGAGCGGCCACTGCACTCCAGTCTGGGCGACAGAGTGAGACTCCCACTCAAAGAAAAAAAACAAGTGAGGGAATGAGTCAGGCAGACATCGACAGCTCCATGCTGAGGGACCCGCCAGTGTGCAGGCCCCAAGGTGGGAACGCATAGGAAGTGTTCAGAAAATGGCACGAGGCCGCTGTGGCCGGTGGAACTGCGGCGAGCGCGTGAAGATGACACCGGAGAGCCCTTGGGAACCAGGACCACCCAAGGGCTTTTTGGCTATATTTTTGGGACAGGGTCTCACTCTGTGGTCCAGACTGCAGTACAGTGGTATGATCACGGCTCACTGCACCTTGAACTCTTGGGTTCAAGCAATCCTCCCACTTCAACTTCTGAGTAGCTAGGACTACAAGTGGGCACCACCACATCTAGCTAGTTTTTTCTTTTCCTTTTTTTTTTTTTTTAAGAGATGAGGGTTTCACTATGTTGCCAAGGCTGGTCTCCAGCTCCTGGCCTCCAGTGATTGTCCTGCCTCGGCCTCCACCAGGCTCAGTCATTTAAGGCACTTGAGATTTTGCTATGAAGAAACAGGGGGCCACGGGAAGGTTTTAAGCAGAGGAACAGTGTAATCTCGTGTCTCAAAGGATCACTCTGGCTGTTATGTTGAGAGGACAAGGAGGTGGAAAGGGCAGGAGGTGGAGACAGGCTAGGAGGCTCCAGCCGTCAATCCTGGCAAGAGAAGTCGCAGCTCGGACCAGGGTGTGAATAGAGGGGTGAGAAGAAGGGGATGTTGTGAAGGTAGATAGAGGTTGAGAGGTAAAACAGATGATGCTCATTCCATCTTAGCTTCAGATGAACAACAGATACTTTTTTGGGCATGAACACGTACCACAAAACGTTTGAGAGATGTGGCCGCAGTTCCGCACTCCTCGCTGAATCCACTCCTGTCACCACGGGACTCTGAAGTTCCTCTCACTTGAGAGGTGGAATGAGTTTTCCCTCTGGCTTTGGTTCAGAGCATGATTTGCTTTGGCAAACAGAATGTCCGCAAGCGTAGCATGACCAAAGGTGGGAAGAGTGCTTGCTCTCTGACAGCTCCGCCATCACTGGGAGATGAGTATTCCCAGGCTCCCTAGTGGGGGCTGGCGAGCATGAGAAGTGGAGCCCACCCCCCAGCCAAGCCCTACCAGGATGTGAGTCAACCCCCGGATGACCCACAGGCACTCATGCTGTCCAGATGCTTACTGTTGTACGTTGTACGTTGCTGTCATGTCTGTTACCCAGCACTAGGCAACTGAGAGTTGCCCCAGCACACAGATAATATGCAAAGCCATAAAGACCAGATTGCCAAGAGACTGGGCATCCACAGAGAAGAGGGTCGAGGGTCAAAGGGCGGAGCCCTCAGGGCATTCCCTCATTAGGGAGACAAGCAGGAACCCACAAGAGACTGAGGCAAGTGACCACTGAGTAACAGGAAAACCAAGACTGTGGTGTCCTGGAAGCCAGATGAGGCGGGAGGGGGCAGCTGTGTCAAATGCTGTAGACATATCACCAGAAGACCTCAGAGCTGACCACTGATGGCTATATTGAGCAGCAAAGGCCCCTGGTAAGCTTGACAAACGCAGTTTTGGTGAAATGGTGGGGATAAACTTTCAAAGGAATTGTTACTATTTTGCAGAGACAGGATCTTGCCTCTGTCTGGGCTGCAAGGCAGAGGCTCTCCACAGACAGTCATAGCACGCCACGGTCTCCAGCTCCTGCGCTCAAGCAGCCCTGCCCCCTCAGTCTCCAGAGTGGCTGAGACTAGAAGCACATACCACCACGCCAGACTTAGGAATGAGTTTCGGGAAAAACAGAACGGGAGAAGACCGGAGATGGTGCTAGTAGAGACAACTCTCCCACCGCGGTTTGCTACAAGCGAAGGAGTAGAATGAGATCACAGTTGGGAGAGCTGGAGTGACGAACTTTCATTGAGACGAAAGATTCTGTTTGTGTGCTCAAACCAAGAGAAAAAATTAAAAAACGAAGTGGTGGGAGGAAGCCCAGGGGCTCGCATCTTGAGCGGTGAGGGAGAGGGCATCTTGCCCACGTGTGGAGGGCTGGCTTCCAGTGGGTCACCGGCTGGTCAGCAGCAGCCGCAGCCCAGAAGGCCCGGCACGCAGAGGCTGGAAGAGGTCTGCGGAGGCGGCGGGAGGTGTGCTAACTACTTCTGACGGCATCCGTGGGAAGAGCTGGTGGGAGCTGGGGAGAAAAGCAGCCATGAAGCAGCCGCTCATGAGGATGTGAATGAACCAGAGCCACATGGCATGGCTGCCAGGTCAGCTCCAAGACGCGGTCGAGGCTCCTGGCCGTGAATATAAGAGGAGACCAGCCGACATTATGAGCTTTCCTTTGACAGGCGCAGATGCTGCCAGATGGAGCTGGGTTTAAGAAGGCTGGGTTTCATCAAGCAAGCAAGCCTCCAAAGGCAGAGGCCAACAGCGGGGTAGGCGGGGAGGGAGCACACTGGCAGCCGCAGATGTCAGCTGAGTGAGGAGAGAAGGTGCGAAGTGAGGGGAGGACCTGGAAGACAGGGGTCACTGCGGTGCTGCCCAGCGAGGGGAAATGGCAGCCGGGGGGCGGGAGGCCCGAAGCTGTGACCGCAGAAAGGGTGCGGCTGTCGGCAGCAAGAAGCACTGGAAGCCAGCTGCCGAGCTGAGGTGGAGGGTGAGGAAACAGTCCCTGGAGAAGACGGATGCAAGGAACTAAGAAGCCAGCGTATCGGAAGAGTCACCTACACTGATGCTGAACCAACAAGAACTCAGACGGGAATGATCTGGGCAAGAGGAGGAAAAGCCAGTCGTCAAGCGTGTCAACCAATGAGAATGAGCCAGGGGTCAGCCACGACGCAGCGGGGAGTGCAGTGGGCAGAGGGGTCTGATGCCGTGAGCCTGGGGCTGGGAGGCTTCGCCGACAAGGAGGGGCCTGCCTGGAAGGGGGCAAGGAAGACGCTGACGCCTGGCGTGAGCCCAGCACACGGCGGGAAAGCAGTGTCCTCGGGCGAGCTGGAGGGGGCTTTGCTCACGCGGGACCACGAGTTTCGAGGACTTGGGGAAGGGTCTCAGGAGTCAGGGTAGGGTGAGGGGAGGCCTCTCAAGGAAGGCATCGTGGCCCTGTGGGGCTCTGAGGGAGACAGAGAGGGTTCCTCGCAGGAACGGACACGAGCGGAAAGCGCATGGTGAGGTTCGCCCGGGACGCGTGGTGACTGGCCGCGGCAGGGCCGTGAGTCTGGAGGACAAGGGGTCCGGCGTCTGGCGTCCCTCGCCCTGCTGACGGAGGCTGTGGGCACACACGCCTTGCACGCCCGCAGGCCAGGGAGGGGGATCGGCAAGTCTGTGGAGGCAGGGCCCTGTGCAGACACACAGTCATGGCGACAGGACAGCACATCGCACAACAATCCAAAAGACACTGCGATTGTCAGATACTTTTCTCTCAAATGTATTCTCTGCACACAAAGCCAATTTCTTCCCTGGTAGCCTGGGAGCGACCTGACATAAAGGTGAATAAAGAAAGGTATACATCTATACATACATACACACACACACACACACACACACACACACCCCACACCCACTGCAACCTACACATCACGTACAGCTCCAGGAAAACCTCAGTGTCTTACACATACGGCCCTGTAGACGCTGTAGTTTCTAGGCCAGTGCTGCCGTCCATCCGCAGGCAGCAGGCCTCCTGGCTCCAAACAGTAAGGAAGTGCCCCACTTTCCCTCAGAGCCTTCTTAGCTTCTTAAGCAATGAACAGGATCTTTTTTCTTCTGCCTGACTAGAGCATGACCCTTTCCAATACACTCTTCCCCGTTCAGCAGATTTCTCAGAGCATCTTTGAGGCACACAGCTGTCCTGTGAGCCAGAGAACAGCTAGAAACCTCTGGGACAGATAAAAGAGCTCAGTGCCTCCCCTCAGGAGCTGCTTTTGTGGGGGTGTGGGGAAGCAGGACCGGTGTCGGGCACAGCTTCTGCCTGGCCGGGCTGCTGGGGCGAGGGGCAGCGTCTCCTCAGGCCTCGGGTGCTCTTGTGTGGGATGAGGGGCCGAGCTAGAGGTCTGCAGGCTCCTTGCCAGCTATCAGCGTTCTAGTAGTCTACGAATCTACCAAAATCGCCATCCCTGGGCAATTCAAATTTTTCTGAAAATTCACCTTTATTTTTTTAAGATCGGAACTAAGCACTGAGGAAGTGCTCGGATCAGTAGTATAGCAATATTACAGAAGACTGTGGTTTGGGATGGGGCGGACTATGGTTTGCCACACCTTTCCCTTTATCTTTCTTGGAAACATGCCTCCAAGGAAACACAAGAAACAGCACCTAGGAGGCAGATCTGTGTGCTGCTGCTGTTGGGGACTGTTCCGGTGAGACAGTCACTGCCAGGCTCTTGTGCTCTGGTTTGGAATTAATCTGCAAACACACCTGCAGAGAAGCAGGACGAGTAAGTGGCTTTATTAAGCAAAAGAAGAGTGTGCTCTCAAGAAAGGAGAGTCTGTTTCTGGAGAGCCCAGTTATTCTTGAGCTATAACATTTATTCTTCTGGGTGGGTGTTAAGGAATTTGTTTCGGGTGGGTTTTTCCTAGAAATGGGTGGTCTTAGGGCTGAATCTCTGCTACTTCTCCCTCCTGTCAGGTAGGGGAGTTTCAGGCCTTTATAGAGTCATACCTGGATGGTCATGGCACCCCAGCAAGAGAATATTTTTGTAAAACCATAACGTTAATGATATTATCATGAGTGTATAATGAAGGTGAATGTGGATCCTGGCGATCTCTGGTCAATCTTGGTTCTTGAGGGGCTCGCTCCGGGGGTCTCTAAGCGAGTTTCTGCTTTGGTGGTCAGCTGTTGACCACAAGCATCCTGGATGAAAGGACTAGACCGCTAGGCTGCTTGCTTGCAGGCTGTGGTTTTGTAACAGCTGCTGCAGTGTTGACACGCTTGGAACCTTCCCACAGTCCGGAAGTCTCCCGGCCTGACCTGCCTCCTTTGACAGCTTCATCCCCAAGTGGTGTCCGTGAATTAGGGTCGAGGCTGTCAACAGCACCTTTTGCTTTCTGATAACTGGTTTCTGATAATTGGCTAGCACCTACAATCAGCTGTAGCCCCTAAATGATCCGTGATCATCCCAGTCAGTTCTTGATCATTTCAAACACTTTCTGCTTTATTTTGGCCCTAGCCCTAACCCTTCACATTTGTTCTGTCTTTGGGCTATAGCAGAGCTCGCTAAAGTAGAGCGGGGGGGGGGGGAGTGAAGAGTTCAAGTTAATGCCTTGTGTTGGCTAAAGACAATTAAGATAATATTTGGAATCTCCTGATGTGAATCAGCCATCGCCTCTTCTTGCCAAGGGTGGTCAAGAATGGACTGTGGAGTTTAGAAACAACATAAATACTGAAACATATATGGAACCCATGGAGTCACATCTGAATCCAACACAGTGTCGCCCGCAGGAGGGGTGCAGGGTGACCGTGAGACCCTCATAAAGTCACCCCCTGACATAAGATTTTGAGTTTGAGGCCTGTTCAGTGCCAATTCCCCAGTAAGTAAGGAGCGCAACTTGAGGGAGAGGCTGTGGAAAAGAAGACAATCACGCTTACCTGGGTCCTTCTGTTCTCCCAATCTGTCCAGAACGTTGAAGGAAATGTCGAGGTACTCTCTCTGGATGGCACTGACAGCAATCTTCCTCTGCTTCCGCTGCCTGGGAACAATCTGGATCTTAAACTCAGACTCCTCAGCTCCATCCTCTCCCCGCTTCCTTTCAGTATTCTGCTCTGCATCCGATTCAGCACTGGGGTCAGACTTCTCGCCCTCTGCCGGCCGCTCCCCATCTTCGGGGACTTTGAGGAGGACCGTTTTTGCCCCTGAACTTGGCGCCAGCCCACCGGGCTTCTCCTCCTCGGGGCCAGGCTCGGGGCTACTGTCCAGTGACATCTCGGGGAGAGCAGGCGACTTCTGGAGGAGGTCTCGTTTCTGTTTCAGCGTGAGCGGGCTGCCGCAGAACTCGGGCAGCTCCTCTGGCCCGGACAGCTCTTCGGCGTCCGTAGGGTCTTCCAGGGCTATGAGAGCAGAGTCTGCGTTGTTTCCTGAGTCCTTGGAGGAGAAGTCTCTGGAGCAGTCCTCCACACTCACCTGCACAAGGGGAGCTGTGCTCAGGCTGAGGACGGAAGAGTGGCTGGGGACGGAGGGCGGGGATGCAGCGTCTGGGCCAGGGGCACCACCACCGCCTTGGTTTGTGGTTTCCTCTTCCTCATCACTCTCCACTATTCTGAGCGGTGGGAGAGGCTCGAAGACCAGCGAGTCACTATCAGATGTTGAGAACACGGAGTGCTTTTCAGGCCCGGAAGTCGAGTCTGAGGACAAATCGATCAGATCGAGGTCCTCTTTGGGGGCAGGCTTCAGCGGGGAGTCCACCTTCACCTCGAACGTCTCCATGCAGTTCAGCCTAACCTCCGGGATCACAGGCCTGCGAGCATCTGGGAAGCCCTCCACGGCTGGGTTCTCAGCGATTTCCACACTGTCAGGCCTTGTGGCAGAATTCTGTCTAGAACGCCCAGGGTCATTTTGCCTTTGTGCGGTGTAAGCGGCTTGAGCAGGTGGCTTCTCCACGTCGCACCGATCTATGCATGACTTCCTGCGATGCTCGTCTAATGTAAACAAGAGGGAGTCTGCATTCCCTATATCAAGAGATTTTTGTTTTAAAGAGCGTAGCTTTTTTTTCTGAATGCTTTCTTCTCTCACACAGTGTAGAAGGCTGTCTTGTAACGCACCCGTTTCTCTATATTCAGCCAGTTCTATTTCACCTGATTAAAACAGAAAAAGCTAGTACTATTTTACTTGGCTATTTCACCATTTCCCCCTCATACTTGGGCATATAATGGGCAGAAATCATAATCACAATCCCAGCTCCACAGAAGGGAAAAACTTTTTGGCCAAGTTTTTGTGCGGTTCACTCTAATTTCAAAATCTGGAAAATTTTGGATTGAAATAAACCACAGTGGGAGATTAAGACCTGGTTTCCAAAATCAGGCTTCGGGATAATTCCTCAGCTCTACTCATTCGTGCTCAGGAGAGGGGACCTTATTTTTGGCTGAGGCAGAGCTAGCCAACTGTATTCAAGTCGTGTGGAAGAGAAGCAAACATTTTGCAACCAATCAACTCAAGCAATGGCCCTCGAAGACGATCAAGACGTTAATGATGCATCTGTCGGTTCACGTATATATATAAATGGGACTATATATATACTGCTTGTGCACACATATATATAAAAATCAACGGCATTAAAGTGTGTGCTAACATGATAAAATTAAGATTTCACCCCAAACAAACGGTAGAGTACAACATTTCTGCATAAAATTACTAAGAGAAAAAATTCATACTTCTCTGAACATTCATCTCAACCGGCTGATATTTCGCCATTTTGCTGCCGCCTATTCTTTTCAATCTTGCAAAAAAAGTTTGAGACTCTTTATTGCAGGGTCCAGTAGGTGTATCATGAATATCAGATTCATCAAAAACACTATCTTCTTCTAATTGGGGAGAGAAAGTCAAAATTACACTTAAGAGGTTATTCTCTCTTAGGCTGTGTCTACACAAGCATTTCAATGCAAGCATTATGGAACAAAGTCTGGGATGGTTTTGGTACCAGCGCACGTCTAGCCATGGGTTGGCATCTCATCCAGGCACCAAATTATCCATATGCTGAATGGGGCAACCTGTAGCAAGATCGCCCATCATCTTCCACGTGGTAACTGGCAGCATTTTTAAGAGGCATTTCGAGATTTCACATAGAACCTTTTTGGGGAAACTTGTCCAGTGCACTTAATACCAGATGACACAGGAGTCTATGACACTGCTTGAATCTGTCTGCCTTATGTGGATATTCAGGCCAGTCTGGCAGAAGGAAATTAAACAAAATGAGCGGATCTTGCCCTTTCCAAAAAATACCTGCCTTCCTGGAATTTGGGTACTAGCATAGACACAGCCTAACAGTACATGCACCTTATACTGTGTGAATGCAAAATACTGTACTCTACATTTGGTAATGAAACACACAACACACAGAAAAAGCTTAGAAAAGCCACTTGTCATCTCAAAAGCTCCACAAATGATTATGGACTGAAAGAATAGACAAAGGAAAAAGAAAACAGAAAATAACATTTCCTCCTCTTAAAGCAAGATTCTTCTCTGAGGAGTTAACCGAATGTAACCATTATAGATCTCATGTATCCCAGAAAGAATCTGGCTTTCTAAGGCTTCATAAACACACTGGTCACTTGGACTGCCTATTGAGCCTGTTTCTGCATCTGTTCTCCCGTGCCCATTTGGCCACTTTTTTTTTTTTTGAGTTGGAGTCTCACTCTGTCACCCAGACTGGAGTGCAGTGGCCGCTCCCGGCCACTGCAGCCTTGACCTGCTGGGCTCCGGCAATCCTTCCACCTCAACCTTTCAAGTAGCTGGAACTACAGGCGCGCGGTACCACGCCCAGCTAATTTTTTGATTTGTTGTAGAGATGAGGTCTCGCCAAGTTGCCCAGGCGGGTCTCGAACCCACGGGCTCAGGCAATCCACTCACCTTGGCCTCCCAAAGCACGGGATTACAGGCTGAGCCACCGAGCCCGGCTCATTTGGCCACTTTCAAAGGAAGATAAACCTAAAGACACATTGATGAGGAGAGTTGCTATGTCACAACGTACAAGACCTACTTAAAATTTTCTTCTTTCAACCTTTTGAAAGACCAAAGCCACACACAAAGCAGCAAGAGAAAAGGTTACTAAAATGCATTTAACGAATGAAATCAAACTACAATTTGAGTTGACTATCACTGAAACGGTAATATTTGGTCTGTATTTATATCTAGCTCTATGACAGAATGAGGCTCAGGTGTGATTATGATATTTCAAGATTTCTTGGGGACAAGGGCAGTATATGTATCAAGTGTTAAGGACCGATCCTGTTCTAATACACAAGATTCTACAAGTAAATGAAACTTGAAGCAGTAAAATTTAGATGAAATAGCCATACTAATATTTTTAATTAAATAGAAAACAAATGTTAACAGTCAAAATAGATTTTAAAAAACAGTGAACTTCCACAAAGACAAGAAAACCTATCAAATTTTCATATTTCTAGGGAATATGGCCCAAACACTAAACACACATTGAGAACATCAAGGCTTAACCTGATCTACCCAATTTCCCATAAACTAAGTCTTAAACTGGTAGACAACATGTTCTTCAGGAAGGATCTGAATGGTACCAGGACTTAGCTTAGTTCTCAGACTTCCATCTATGGCCAACCCAGATTCTTGGACCTTTGAGCAATAAACCAACAGTGGAGTACCGGCTACAATGTATCCTACTGAGATATTTCCAAAGCAGTCTTACCAAATTAGACTGTACTAATACCACAAAGGGTCATCGGACACTTGGGTTTCTCCCAGGATTGGATTATCAGATGATGTCACCTTTTACAAGTCCTAGTCACCTATGACATGCACTAAAGAGCCACCTTGGTTCTTCATCTCTCAACTGAGAGCAGGCTATAATTTTACTCTAAAGTTTCATTCTGTCTTCTTTTAGAAAAAGCTATCAGTAGAAAAAGCTTTGGTACTAAAGATCATTTAAACCTATGCAGCAAAATGTTTCATTTCCCTTGCCTTGAATCACTTTGAGTTGAATTTAAAGGCTAGGAAAAAACACTTCAGCAAATACTAGACTCCATTAAAATTCTGTGAACGCCAAGTTCAGGGTCGACTGGAGACCTACAGGTGGATGGCTCCACTGGGTGCCAACCACGATTGTGCCCAAAGCAAGATGCTTCCAACACACAAAGACATGCAAAGGGTCCCTAACCAAGCAGCAGAAAACTCCTTACAAAGTATTCTCTCTTGTGATATGGGCTTTGGAAGCATAACCATTACTTCTCTTGATTACTCAATCCAAAAGTTAAGGTAGCAGCATTCATGGGAAAGTTAATGAAGCAGCGACTTTTTTGACTCTGCAGTGATGCTGAGGGGCGCTTCTCTACCTCCCAAGAAAAACATTGTCTTGGCATGTATCACGCATTCAAGCTAAGTGTGGGCGAAACCCACACTCGGGACGCACCTTTTTCTTTTTCGCTGTATCTGCTTATGTTGCTATTGTCGCTGTACAGGGGTCCTGCCGAGGCCTGGGGCTTGCAGCTGTGATACTGGGCATTGAGGGTATTGACTGTTATGTGAATCAGGTGCAGCAGGATCTTGCTGAGATCACAGTCTCGGTAGGGATACTGCTCAACAAAATGGAGGGAACAGCACAATGGTTACTCTAAGGGAGACACTTTCCCACTGGATCTTGCCAGGTATGTTTTTCAGTCTCTCTTAGGGATGACAAGAAACAGAAAAGTAAAAACAGTTTCTGAGCACAGCCTTATTTTCACAAAGCACCACATTCCCTTCCTCTCGCACCTAAGCTGCTGGCAGCAGGGCATGCCAGCTCCTATTACAACTCCCTTCAATAAAATTATCCGACATGAACATTTCGTGGATGAATACAATTTCCCCCATCTTTTTTCTGGCATAACAACACTTAGACGAAATATGAGATTTTGTGTATAAGCAGAGGTTGTTAATCAATGTCCCACCATTTATCATTTTTTGTCCTAAAGATGTTTAGGGGCACATAGTGACAGGATTTCCCTTCCTGTTTTCAACTTAACAGCTCTTTGCTTCTCTGCATTAATTGCACATCATGATTCTTCTACCGAAGGTCTCTTTTTTACCTTACAAATGTCTCAGCGTAAGCCACAGCTGTCCCCCTAATGTTGCTCGGGGTCTCGCTGAGCGAACCATCTCAGCTAAGAGGGAGTCACCGCTGCCACCCACCTTGTAAAGCACGACAAGCAGAGCCTTCAGCCACATCCGCCGGACGTGGGGCTTCAGGGACCAGAGGGAGCAACGAGGCGGCTGCTGGAAATAGTGCCGCAGCTGAGGGCAGGAACAGTATTTGAGCACCTGAACCACCAAGGGGAGAAGGTGTTTTCCCAAGTTAATGTTATAGTCCATGACCTGAAATAGGAAAAATATGAATGACTGGAGGAAAACTACAAAGAACACTTGGAGTCAAAGGAATAATCTGAACCAACCCAGCAAAAACACAAGCACAATATTTACCAGAAATCTCACAAAATATTAGCGGTAATGGTTAGTGTATATGAAGGGGGAAAAGCATAGCCTCATAAGAAATTGTAAAAACTTATAAATGAAAATAGTTTTACTTTGCTTAATTATTTGTCTACTTCATTATCTATCGAAAATAAAATTTTATCTATTAAGATGTATTTATTCAACTATTAACTAGAGTTAAATTAGACAACAACAAAAAACTAATATTGGCAATCCACTGTCAATTATACTACAAGGCTGTAGTAATCAAAACCAGCATGGTACTGGTACAAAGCAGACACATGGACCAATGAAACAGAACAGAGAATCCAGAAATAAACCCAAATATCTGCCACCAACTGATCTTTGACAAAGCAGAAAAAAAACATACACTGGGGTAAGAACACCAGTCCACAAATGGTGCTGGGAAAAGTGGATAGCTACATGCAGAAAAATGAACTTGATTTCTATCTCTCCCCATATACAAATATTAACTCAAGATGGATTATAGACTTAAATGTCAGACCTGAAACCATACAAACCCTAGACGAAAGCCTAGTAAAAACTCCTCTGGACATCAGCTGAGGCAAAGAATTTAGGGCTAAAACCCCAAACGCAACAACAACAAAAATTAGTAAGTGGTATTTAGTTAATACCAAAATGTTTCTGCATAGCAAAAGAAATAATCAACAGAGCACATAAGAAACCTACAGAGCCAGCTCGGTGGCTCAGCCTATAATCCCGTGCCTTGGGAGGCTGAGGTGAGTGGATTGTCTGAGCCCGTGGGTTCGAGACCCACCTGGGCAACTTGGTGAGATCTCATCTCTACAATAAATCAAAAAAATTAGCCGGGTGTGGTAGCGCATGCCTGTAATTCCAGCTACTTGGAAGGCTGAGGCGGAAGGATCACCAGAGCCCAGCAGGTCGAAGCTGCGGTGGCCGGGAGCGGCCACTGCCCTCCAGTCTGGGCGACAGAGTGTGACTCCAACTCAAAAAAAAAAGAAAGAAAGAAACCTACAGAATGGAAGAAGATATTCGCAAACTACACATCCGACAAAGGACTGATATCCAGAACCTACAAAAAACTCAAACCAATCAGCAAGGAAAAAGCAAATACCCCATTAAAAAGCGGGCAAACAGCACGAACAGACATCTTTCAAAGGAGGACATGCAAATGGCCAACAAACATATGGAAAAATGCTCAACATCACTCGTCCCCAGGGAAATGCAAATTAAAACCACAGTGAGATGCCACCTTACACCAGGTCAGAATGGCCATTACTAAAAAATCAAAAAACCATAGGTGCTGGAGCAAATGTAGTGAAAGAGAATGCTCATATACCATGGGAGTGTACCGTAGTATGACCTCCATGGAAACTGGAACAGAGATTCCTCAAAGAATTGCAAGTAGATCTACCACTTGATCCAGCAACCCTACTGTCTCCCCAAAGGAACAGAGGATGTTCGTTCTATAACAAGACGCCTGCACTCACATGTTCATTGTAGTACAATTCACAATCCCAAGGATGTGCATTCAACCCAATTGGCCATCAGCTGATCAGTGGAAAAAGAAAACGTGGTATGCGCCGGGCTCAGTGGCTCAGCCTGTAATCCCAGCGCTTTGGGAGACTGAGGTGAGTGGATTGTCTGAGCCTGCGGGTTCGAAAATGTGGGATATTATTCAGCCATCAAAAAGGAAATGATGCGTTCTGCAGCACCCTGATGGAACTGGAGAAGAGCAGGAACAGAAAAACAGACACTGCACGTTCTCATCAACAAGTGGGAGCTAATATAAACTTCATAGGAAATTTTAGGTTTAAAAGGTGATATGTATATATGTATATGTATAATGTGATCCTACTATTGTAAAAATGTGTGTATATACATGACTATGTCCGTGTATACATGCACATGTATGTACATAAATCTGGAGGAAGCAACATACACCAACATGTTAGTAAGTCATGTTTGTCGTGGGTTTTCTGGAGTTATAAAAATTCCTTATAAAATGCAGTTTGTAATGCGTGGCTTATGTGGATCTAGAGAGAGAGAGAGAGAAGAAAAAGTGGGAGGAAATACCTGGTGTACATCTCCTCATCACAGACAGCCAAGAACTAGTGAAGATATATCCATGTCAGCATGGGCCAGAGATGGGCACACACACTGCTCTCACTTTGCTTGTCTGGCTTCATTTTATCGCCATCTATCTGAGCTAATGGATAATAACAGCTACCATCTTCTGAGTTCCTACCAGGAGACTGCTACTGATCAAGGTATTTTGTAGTAAGCTGTCTCTCATCTCTCAGGGGGGAAAAAAAACAAACCGTCACTAAGAGCAAGAAGCAGAGGTGGCTGAGCCTTGCCAGCTGTAACAGTGGCAGCACAGAAATGTACATCGGTGTCACTGGAGCCCCAAGTCCCAGAGCTGTGCTGATCACTGTCGCCGTTCTGCAGGACGAGGTCCGTAGCACCGGGCGAGGCAGGCACATGCAGAACCCTGAGCCAGAAACGTCTCTTCTGGCTCCACATCCCAGAGGAACCCTCTCATTGACCGATAGGGGGCATGTGTGAGGAGGTTCACTGCTGACCTGTCTGGGCTGGCGAGGAGCTGCAAGCAACATGAGTGTCCCTCGCCCGGGGACGGGTAAGTGAAGTACGGTAGACGCACACTGTCAAGACGCGACACGGCAGGTAGAGGCAGCAGACACACACAGGAAAGCCAGCGACGGCAGCATGCTTGAAGTCAGTTGTGTGATTAACGCAACTCACTCCACTTGAAGCCAGAAGAGGAAAAGGATTTTTAAAGCCCACACACACACACAAAATCCGACGCTTTCTTATTATTTAATGCGTATGGAGTTTCAGTTTAGAACGACAAAAGAGTTCTGGGCATCCGTGAAACGCAAATCAAAACTACAATGGGATACCACCTAAGTCCAGTAAGGATGGCCATCATGGATAAGCCAAAACACAAGTGCTGGCATGGGTGTGGAGAAAAGGGAATGCTTCTACACTGCTGATGGGTGTGCAAGCTAGTTCAACCTCTATGGAAAACAGCGTGGTGACTCCTAAAAGGACAAAAATTGACCTTCCATATGATCCAGCGATCCCTCTCCTGGGAATACACCCAGAGGAACATAAATCACTCAACCAAAAAGACACCAGCACACGCAGGTTTACAGCTGTACTGTGCACAGCAGCAAAAACGCAACCAACCCTACTGGCCACCGAAAGGGGACTAGATGAAGACAATGTGATACACACACATGATGAAATATTACACAGCCATAAGAAAGGACAAAAATCATGGACTTTCCAGCGAATTAGATGGAGCTGGAGACCATTATACTAAGTGGGTTATCACAGAAACAAAGAACTGAATACCGCAAATTCTTACTCACTTGTGGGCCCTGAATGCTAGTCACACCAACCCAAGGGCGGGATGGGCAGTCGCTGAGCACTGCCAGGGGAGGGAGGATGGGGAGGGGGCACATGGCGACACAAAGGGCACCCAGCCCACTACCAAGGGAAGTGAGGGCCAGTTAGAAGCCCAGACTCCACCTGCATGCAGCCTACTGATGTGGATAATCCTTATTTGCATACCTCATCTTTGTCATTAAAAAATTAATTTAAAAAAGAGCTTCTGGGGATGGGTAGTGGTGATAGTCGCATGACAACAAAAATATACCCCACGCCACTGAACTGTACACTTACAGATGGTTAAAATGGTAAGTTTTATACTATGTATAGTTTACAAAAGAAGAAAAGCTGCCACGCTCCCTTCATGACCCCAGGCTACCGATTCCTACCCGTCTTATATCCCCCTCTACACATCCTGCCTAATACCAAGAAATTCATGCACCTGATGGTGGCTAGCTGGAATGCAATGCCTTGCTTCTATTAAAAGCCTGCAAGAAAAGATGTGACTTGTGAAAGTTGTTATTGCACTTACTTGGGCAATTCCTGCAATAAATGCATTAAAGCAGGTTGACAGGCGCATTTTTTGAGGTGCAATCATGAAGCAACCTTCCTGTTGGTCATAGCCAAGCAAGACGTACAGGTGCCGCTTGACTGTGTTGAAGGCCTTTGCACTGCTGATGTCTGACTCAGCGCTGCTCTCATCCTTGGCCATGAACTTCATGAGCACGGTGATCAGCTGGTGAACTGTCTGGTGGTCGATCCCGGCATCTTCGGGGAGCAGGTCCTTGATGGTGTTGTCATTCTCAGGAGATTGTTGTCCTGTCAGTACAAGCAAGGCTGTCAGCAGGCAGCTTCCCGACACTGAAATCTCACTTAGATATTGAGAAAGCACTATTCTTTCTGCTTCTACTATAAAGATTCTGTTCCAGACAAAAAACTTGAAGGCACAATATGACCCACTAAGCAGAGCATGAGTTCAGAGGGGGAGCTTATTGTCATTTTTGTGTTCATTAACAGCTAAGTAGTTTGGGAGTATTAAGGGAATGGAAATAGCAATAAGGCGCTAACAAGTAATGTCATTCTCAACAAGACAAAGGTCAAAATAAACTTTACATTCAGCAAATTTTCAATTTCTTGACAGAGTTTTATCCTCAGTGATAAAGAAAGAGAAGTTTCCCTTTCAGGTTTGTAAAATAGTCATGTAAGAATAAGCACAAAAATAATCATCTAAAATCTACTGAGGACAAAAACATCCACTGGATTATTTTTGTTTAAATTATCATCTCAATTGAGTTATGTTCATGAATTAGCTGGTGCAAAAGTAGAGTTTTATTTCCCAAATCCTGAGATATTAGCAGTGTGTACTTTAAAAATGAAATCGTTAAAATAGCAAATTATAAGCCCTGCTGTATGTCATGAGAAACATCCAAGGGGAAGGGAGGACACAGACAGCCAAAGAGAGCAAAGCATGAACTTTCCAAAACAGAAAAACACATGAAGGTGGGCTGAAAGTTCACATGAGGAGAAAAAAATGCCTCGGCCCTTGGTTTCCCTTTAGCCTAATCAATAATTGTATCTGAGCAGCTTCCTGACATTGACTTTTTCTTTATAGTTTTTTGCTCAAAGGCAGAAACTAAACACTGTCTCCCTTTGCTCTTCCGCTCCTTCTGATCAGGTTTGGTTTAACACTTTGGGGAAAGGAAGAATGCCATCTGCTCTTTTCTGTTTATGATTTGGGCTTATTCAAAATGCTCTTTGCACTCCTGTCCTTCTTTGGATGAGCAACATAAGAATTTCTACATTGGAAAGCTCTTGCCTGGTAGTTCAGGTCAGCCCACCAGCAGCTATACCTCTCATTCTCTAAGGAGGAGTTCTAAATGATGACAAGCTCTGGTTACTCCTCCGTTAATTTGGCAACGTTTCAATCTTTCAGAACATAGCAAAGAAGAGCGAGATATAAAGAATGCTTCTGGGCCTGCAGGAATTCATTGTCTCAAGCCCCATCTGGGACAGTGGCGCGAAGGTCAAATTGAGTGTTTACTGTTTCGGGCCTCCACATGAAGTAACAAGCTTGGTTGTCTAGTTTCCCTGAAGTATCAGAAGAATGTTGGTCTGTTCAAAAGCAACATGCTGGGAATGGACAGTTGACAAGTGAAGAGGCAGCTGAAACAACCTGGTCTAAGAGCCTCTAACATGGAAGAAACCTCCCGGCACTGTTCAGTCTGATTCTGGGACAGTAGCGTTTTCTGTCTCATACAGTCTGTTCATGAAGGACTGAACATATGCACTGTGCTTTATAGAAATTTTTATCGGAAAGTATTCAAATAAAACCTAAGGATTATTTATTACAGGATTTCCCAGGCAAGGAATAATCAATAAATGACTAATATGATCATGACTTATTAAGCATCAGAAAAAAATCAATTTATGTGGAACACCCTGTTTCCACGAAAATGTGAAGCTACATTGTATATTACAGTTAAGTGTCTGTAACGTAGGATTTGACCAAAAGCAATACTCATGTAAAGCCTTGTAAAATAGAACAAGTTTAGAGAACTATCTTTTCGACATTAAAAGCATATACACCCTTGATTTTTCCCCCCTCTAGAGTACTACTTGACAACTAGAAGGATATTATTGTTTTGGGCAAGTTTGGGCCAAGAATGTGACAAGCGTCACAGACAGGTTCCCCACAGGGTCCAACGTTTCTATAGCAGCAAGTGATGGTTGTTACATTACAGCTTCGTTCCTCAGTTCCTTTTGGCTCCAAGGTGCAAGGTTGAAGACAGCACATGCCATTCACCTTTGCTCAGCCACCTCCATGTCCAAAATTCCGAGTTAGAAAATGGAACTGGCAAGCGTTCTGGAGGAAGTGTACCTTTGTTTATAGTCCTGATCATCTGAGCGCCTCAACACAGAAGAAAGGGTGCTCCCAACAGGGTCCAGCAAGACCCTGCACCCATTTCCTCCCCTCCCAATTCAAGTCTAGAAAACAGACAACTGGACTTCAACCTAGATGTTTCAAAGCTCTTCATCCCATGACCAGTGGGCGTGTTTTTAACAACATGTCATCTTTAGTGTTCTCCTCAAACTTGCATTCCTGACCATGACACATCACTTCATACATTTCCTGGTCTCACTGCAGAGTCACTGCAGCTTCATTGTCACTGGCCTTTGAAGATCTAGACATGAGTGATCTTTAATAAGCCACTAAATACACTGAAGAATGAACTAGTTAATGGGACATTCTTACATAAAATGAAAAAAAAATCTCTTTTATTCCAATAATTCGCCTCTCCAGTGGTGGCTTTGCAAGCCCACACTTTGTTTATTGTCCCTCTTCAAAACACAGCAAGCTTGCAGCTGGGATACTCTTTATAAAGACAGTGTTACCTTAATCAAATCCCTAAGAAAAACAAAGCGTACACAAGCTGAAATGTTCTTTGTTGGTAAAGACAATACCGGTGTTTCAGTTATCTGTAAAAGGTATAAAGTTTCCATTTTAAAACTAAATGCCTACAATATTTTCTCTATGGTATGACAACTGAAACATTTACTAGTTTTGAATTCTTTTGTCTATGAAATTTCTATCTCTTAACATAGAGATTGAACATGTTAAGAGCCAGATTTTATTATTCTATAAAGAACAATGAAGCATCGTTACAACCATGGGGCAGAGCCCTTCCAACTGCAACTTTACGGTAGACTGAGTTCATTACAGACTGTCCACAGAGTTGCATAGTTGACTGAAACTCCAAAACGTAACACAAAGCTTTCTATTCAGATGACCTGAAACCCTGCAGGGTCAGGAGCTGCCTTTCCAGCCTCATCTCCCATGATCCCACCCGGAATGTCCAACATTCTCATGAGCTGGGCTGTTCGTGGATCTCAGCATGGAGCCAACATTTTCTGACGGCTCCATGTGCCTTTGCTCACGGTGTTCCCTTTATCTTACAAGGCAGCTCTCCACACACAGCCCCGACTGTGTTACAGGTCTGGTCCCCAAAAGCCACCTTATTACACGTGCTCATCCTCCTCTCAGCAGCTGCATGTGATCTCTAAATTCTGTGAGTCTCCAGGGCAAGAAAGGAGGAAGACGGAAGGGACAAAGAGAACCGAGGGACGCTTCCTTCAGCACCACCTCTCACATGACACACAATGATGATGCAAGGCAGAACTTTATCTATGCGTTTGTCTTATTTCTGCGGTAAGAACATAGCTCCGTGAAGACAAGGGCTGTATCGTATCCGTGTGTGTACCCCTCACAGAGTATGGAGCAGCATTTGCCACACAGTAACTGCTTATTATGGGTAAATGTCTAAGAACACTGAGTTCAAGAAATTAGTTCCCGTCTTATACTCCGTATTAGAGACACTTTTAAAGTCCCCAGAAGGCACAGAAATGGGAATGTTTCTCTGTATGAATTGACTCACGAACTCCTCCATCAAAACATCAAGGGACAAGTAGGTGGAGGAAGGGAAGGTCTCTTCCAAGAGCTTCCTGTGCATCTGGTGCAGTGAAGCCTCCGAGTGAGGACCAGGACTGAGGCTGCGTGGCATCACTGCCTCACTGACCTACCTGGCTTCTGCCTCCACTTCAAGCCTCCCTCACAGCAGTTCTGCCGTGTGCACAGCCACAGAGAGGCTGGGGAGAGGGGGTGGTGACCAACTTCATGTCCTCACATGCTCCCTATCCTGGCCGCTACCATTCCTAGCCCACACCCTATCACCGTGTGCTGACATCCCATCTGCCAGCCAACGGGCAGGAAACTGCCCGTGCACAGGAACTTCCCTGATGCCTACAGCTGGTAGTGAAACTCCCCCCGTCGCACTTAACATTAACCATCCTACTCACTGTCAGTTGCACTCAAGATGAGAGTTTACGAATATTCATACCTTATTCTACCTTACTTGGCCATAAGCAAGCTGAGAATATAAAAACTTTAAATGGAGCTGGGCTCAGTGGCTCAGCCTGTCATCCCACGCCTTTGGGAGGCTGAGGTGAGTGGATTGCCTGAGCCCGCAGGTTCGAGACCTGCCTGGGCAGCGAGACCTCATCTCTACCATAAATCAAAAAATCAGCCGGGCGTGGTAGCACGTGCCTGTAGTTCCGGCTACTTGGAAGGCTGAGGTGGAAGGATCACCAGAGCCCAGCAGGGCAAGACTGCGGTGGCCGGGAGTGTGCCACTGCACTCCAGCCTGGGCGACAAAGTGAGACTCCAACTCAAAAAAAAAAAAAAAAAACCTTCAAATGCATGTTTGTATTCTTTATATTTCCCGGTACAGCAGGTATGCAATAAATGTGTATTGAATAAAAGTTATCACTTCCCAAAAATATAATTTCAGACAAGAACATTTCTACAAAACGACTGTACTCTTTGATTTATTGGATCTTAATGGTCAGTAGGCATTTTGCAAGTTAGTAAAGAAGTGAATTATGAATCATCTGTAGGAAGAAAGAGTGAGCCCAAAGAAAAGTAACTTGGAATTCTAGGTCAGAATGCAATCTGTTCTGTCCCTGACTAGTTAGTTATATGTTACCTTAAGCAAGTCATCTAAGCAGAATTACTTAATCCCTCAAGTACATCAGTTTTCCAGGCTTCGTGCCAAATAAAAAAATAGTACTTCTCATATATCCAGAACTGTTGTGAAGTCAAAATTAGATGATTTGCAGAAAAACATTCTTTATTGGTAAAAAAAAAAAAGTAGTATACACATATGAAGTATTATTAGCACTAGTATATACTTACTATTGTTTAATTATTCCCTCCAGGAAATAAGGAACAAGATCATAATTAAGCATTCTATGTTCATACGGGTTGACACCGTTTATTCAGTATTGTGCTGATATACCATAAGTGCTACATTATATTCAGCTGGTCTTCAACAAGTATGCTACATATCTGAAGAAAATAATTCTTAGTTCTTCCAGTGTCCATAAAAATACAATTTGAATCTACACAAACTTCGAATTAGCAGTTAAGAAAACTATGCATTTGATCAATTAGGATGAAATGAAGATGCTGAAATCCCACTACCATTTACTGTCTTGTAACAGAGTCAGGATCTCTTGGCTTGAGACCCAGATCTGTCGCCAACAGGCTTGTGACACTTGTTCTTTTATGGGAATCTCAGTTTCCTCTTTTGTAACATAAAAATGTTAAAATATCTCTAATATTTCAGCAATAACATTCTATGAATTTTATTTATATGCATGAAGGCCTTTGACTCATAAAAGTCACAAAGGAGCCAGCTTTCTACAAGTCTTACAGAAAATGCCTTCTATAGGAAACAGAATTTTCTATTCTATGTGCTCTAGGTACATAAAGGTTAAGATCAGAGAATCATACATTGTATATCCAATGCCAAAAAGTTCGGCCTAAACAGCAATTAAAACTAAGTCTTGATACATCATTAAAGCTTTATTTCAGTCCTAATCAATAAAAGGTCTGCACAGAGTAACTCGTTATTTGGCTCAAACTAAAGTATGTTCGTTAAGTAGCAAGTTCTTTAGTTTCCACTTAATTACTATTTAAACCATTCCACAAAATCTTATGATTATCCTGGCATGTCTTTCCAAGTTAAAACATTCAGTGTCCAATAAGTAACAATGCAAAAATGGAACACTACAGTTGTTTGAAATTGTCTTGTAAGCTAAGCTAGCTGTTTCCAAATCTATACAAGTTTTGCATATGGTGGCATATAAATGACTTTTCCAGAAGTTTTAGCTTCATACTTAATCTAAACAATGTTGTTATCTGCCCCTTTTCCATCTGGTCGCATTTGGTTCAATAGTTAGTTGCCCAAATGCTTTTTTTAACCGCAATAAATATATATACATATTTTCCCACAGAGAAGTGGGAGACTTTTTGGTCAGATTGTTAAGATGGATAATAATAATTAAAATCTAGCTTTTCAGCTAAACCTTAAGACAAAAAGATAAGCTGGGATAAAACAAAACTAATTTACAATACTCTTAAGAACAATCTCAAAAAGGCCTAACCACAGAGGATGGAGTTCACATTTCTAATGAAGCTCAGGATCAGAAGTTCTTGTTTTTATTCTTTAAAAAGAAAATCACTGTGGGAACTTTTTTGTCCTCTCAATAAATCCTGCTTTTAAAAAAAAAGAAAAGAAAATCACAGCAGAGCACATGAGTGATGTATAAGACAAGATAGGGGACTCAGTTCAATGTTTGCTCTTCCTTTCTCGCGTCAACTTTAAAAGAGAAAGTACAATTTGGCACCATCTCCCAACTGCATTCATGATCTTTGGGGCACTCTCTCTTTTCCTCTCCCAGTCCAGACATGCTCTCCTTTGAGTATTCTTTTTTATAACACATAATACACACAATCTTGAAAGCCTCTGTGCTTGAAATTTTCCTTCTGAAAGTATCAACACCATTCTGAAAAGTTTACCTGAAAACTAGTCTTTGACGAAAAACCAAATGGTCAATAACATGATACACAGGTGCTAGTTACCAAGCTTGTTTCTGACAAATAAGCAGATATGTAGAACCTTCTCAATCTTCCCAGTGAGTCTGTAATATCCTTGCCAATGTCCCTTCAACTCTTAGGCCACTTCATGATGAACTGCAATATACCATGGAACATCAAACGATACACTACCATGCTGAATATGAGTCTACGGTTCTCTAAACAATGGGAGCCTCCTTACTCTGAGAAACAGAAATGCATGTAGACTTGCAAAGAATCAGGAATGGCTAAAGGGATGAGTGGATGGCGGTGGTTCGGATGCATACCCTTTTAAAATGTCAATGAAATGTATGCTTTTCCTATAGCAGTTATAGATGGACATAATATTTGTATGTATAAATACACATACAAACATAAGTACTATGCACAGCTCTAGTCATATTGGCTCTCTAGGGAAAGGTGCATATTTGGGTCATATGATGCTTCTTACCGGACCAAAAGCTAATGGGATCAAAAGCCATCTGCTAACATTGAGATGGGAAGAATTGCCATGACAGCGGCTCAAACACGCAAGCATCTGGGATAAGATGCTTCTGAGTTTGCAGATCCCAAGTATATTACCCTGGTCCAGTTAGAGACACCGCATTCTTTACCTCGTCCACCGGCGGTAGACACTTGCCCACGGCCCTTCAAGGTCAGAAGTACCCACCTTGTGTCTGTTCAGGTGTCCCACCGAGAGCTGGAGCAGACTGCTCATGCCTGGTCAACCTCACAGCTTAAAAATCAACAACAACTCTATTTAAATAAGCATTACAGACAACTTGAGCCTAGAAAATATACTCAGTGCTAACTGCATTGGGTAGTAGAGGCAGGTTTCGTTTTGCTACGTGTAACTAACATCACATAAAAGTTGTCTATGCAACAAAAGTTTTGTGGCTACATTTGAATCTCAAGAACATCCTTCAATATTACTTCAATTCTTAATCTTCAAAACTGTCATGTGAATCAATGAATAAGAAACAACAATGAGTAAACCAAACTGATCAGTCAGGTTATAAAAGAGCCGGGAAACTCATATAAAAACTGTCATTTGTTAATTCCAGGTACTGGTTTCTAGGATCTGGAACAGTTTCACCTGGGGCCTAACCCTACTATAAGTTTTTCCTAAATGAATGGCTATAACTATCTTTGCTTCCTTAAAATCTGGGTTATTGATTACTTAAAGGGTTTTCATCGATTCTTCCAAAGTTCCTAATACCACTTTTCCATAGCTTGTCATAAAATAGAGGAAAAAATGTAATAAATAAAATCAAATCATATTTATGATTTAAAATGATTATGCTTTATAAGGCTGTCTTCTAATAAATGCCAATGAAAAAGCAAATCTTCCAGCTTTTGATAGGATAAGAAATATGTTTGGGGTGTTATTTTTTAATGTCATAGCAGTTGTTTACAGCTTAACTCATTTAATAAGTCTTACAAGTTAGTAACAAAGTTAAATATACCCAATCATTAACATGGTGATTTAGTTATGAATTTTTAATTATCTATCACTCATGAGTGGCTGCTAATTATTAGTCATCTAAACATTTGGTAATTTTACTCTCTTAAAAAGAATAATATTTTTTAAAAACTTTATTAAAAAAGTATGTATGGTCTTGTTTTTAGTTGGCAGTGAAGATTGCTTTTATTTATACATTTTCTGTGAATTTAGGCAGAGATTTCACTTCTCAGCTGATTTTTTTTTTTTTTTTTTTTTTTGAGTTGGAGTCTCACTCTGTCACCCAGACTGGAGTGCAGTGGCTGCTCCCAGCCACCGCAGCCTCGACCTGCTGGGCTCCGGCGATCCTTCCACCTCAGACTTCCAAGTAGTTAGAATTACAGGAATATGCTACCACACCCGACTGATTTTTTTATTTTATTGTAGAGATGAGGTCTCGCTGCCCAGGTGGGTCTCGAACCCGCGGGCTCAGGCAATCCACTCACCTCAGCCTCCCAAAGGCACGGGATTACAGGCTGAGCCACCGAGCCTGGCTGGTTTTTATTTTTTTAAATCAATCGTTTATAATTGGGTTGTCTGGGGACTTGTGTGGTTGCTTCTATCAAGCATGAAAAGAAAACACAGCCCACATGTCAACTCTACCTCCTTAGCTGCCATGGGTCTTGTTGCCTAAGTCTCATTTAGAAAGCTCTTACATTACAAGGCTGGTGGTGCAAACCTCCATGTTCTAGGGCTTAGGAGCAAATGTTTTTTCTAAGTTTCAAGCCAAGCATCGATGGATTTGCTGCCTTCTACATTTCAAAACCACTTACTGCTGGATCAGGGCTTTGCTGCCCCCACAAGCTAGAAAAAGCTACCCAACCTGGCATATATACTCTGGGGTGATTCTCTAGGGAATCTGAAAGCCAAACTAGTTGAACAAGCTCAGTTTGCTAAATACGCTAGTCTTGGTGAACACTCAACAAGACAAGTCAGCCTCAGAAAGACGTTAAACAGATTTAGTGGGAGGGTGGAGGCAGATACTCAACGGATTTTGGAGGTCAGGGTCTCAGGGAGGGAGAGTGCCCTCTTGGATTCCACGGGACCTTTCACACTGTCCCTGAGAGAACGCACACTCTTCTGGCGGTTTCTTGCAAAGCGAGCCCTCTTGATCTTCCACAAAGCTGCGTCACTGAGGTTAGCAACATTGGTCCTCACAGCAGTGATGGCTTTGCAAAAGGAATTAAAGGGTTATTGTTTTCCTCTACTGGTTATGTATTACAGTTAATTTGAAACAACCTATCTGTGTAGAGTTTCAATATCAAAATACATCTTCCATGGGTCTTTCTCTATAATGAGCCTTATATTTAAAAATCATGACTATTGTCAATCATTTTTTTTGTTTAGCTCATAGAGTCAAATTATCTGATTTTTGTTATCAGTGGATAGTTGAGCGATGAAAGCCTTTTCTCCAACTATTAGACCTGTAGCTAACTAATTAATAAGCATGCAAGAATGAGTTTTCAAGCTACAAATATATTTCACCAAATTGTTCACAAACATTGTGACTAAAATAATACTTAGAAAACACACAATTGGGCCGGGTGGGGTGGTTCAAGCATGTAATCCCAGCACTTTGGGATGTTGAGGCTAGAGGATTGTCCAGGTGTTCGAGACCAGCCTGGACAACTTGGCGAGACTTCATCTCTACAACAAATCAAAAAATTAGCCGGGCATGGTAGCACATGCCTGTAGTTCCAGCTACTTGGAAGGCTGAGGCAGAAGGATAACCTGAGCCCAGCAGGTCGAGGCTG